TATGGTTTGCAAATATCTTCTCCCAATTGTTAGGCTGTCTTTTCGTTTTGTTGATGGTTTCCTTAGAAACAATAGCTTTAAGAAAAGAAATGCTCACCATGGACCGACTATTCACTGAGGTAGATTTCTGACCCTCAACAAAGGATCCTCACACCCAGATGTTCCCAAATCGGCACTTGGCAGAGGCCCAGGAAGACCAGGGAGCCTCTGCATCAACAGAAGGCTGAAGTTTAATGCGCAGCCTTCCGCAATCCCCCAGTTCCACGGGGGCGGCCAGTACGAGCCCCTCCTACAGATCTAGAACGTGATGTTTAGAGAGAAGATAAGTGACCCCAAAGCCATGTGGCTGGTGGTCGGCCCTCCTACCCTCTACCCCCTGCCCTCTTCAGGGGGTTTCTGTTAAAATATCCACCCTCTGGGGGCAACCTTGATGCAGGGAGTATTCTGGAGTGCTTTGTAAATATGGATGGGCCAGATGCTAGTTGAGTGCTGCTGTGTTAGCAAATACTTCTAGGAGTGACTCAAACGAGCCTGGGGGCAGGTTCTCCTGGGGCAGCAGGTGCTGCCCTGCCCTCTGACTCCACGATCTGGGCAGATGAGCACTCTGCCCGGGGCTGGGGCTTGGCGGGCAGGGGAGCAGGCATGGCCCCACTAAGGGGGCAGCCAACAAACTTCTAAATCAGGACCCTGACTCTGGGACAGCAGGGGTCCCGACATCCTCCAGATGGCTTTAAGAGACGACCCCGAGAAAGCTGCCCTTCTCTCAAGACCGCCTGCCCCAAAGTGCTCCCAAAGTGACCCCCAGTGACCCACCCAGCTCAGTCCTGTGACCTTTGGTCTCCTCTGGAGATCTGGGATGCTGTTCAATTTACGCCAGTGCAAAACTGGTGGCGATAAGAGCAACAATACTTCAGGCTGGGCTCTTCCGCCCAGAGGAAGGCCTTATCTGAGATAAGGGATTAGAGCTGCCACCTGAGCCGCCTTTGTGGGGAGGGGCAGGTCTGCCCCCAGCCCCTCTGAGTGCAGCTGGAGCCCCTCTGCTGCCTCTCTGAGAAGGCCAGATCTCTGTGGCCTTGATGGACTTTGTTCCCTCTGGGGCCTCAGTTTCCCCATTGGGTGTGTGAGAGTGGAACTGATGACAATTTGTGCCCCTTTTCCACTCTACAGTTGGGCCAACGTGAGCCTGGGCTACTGAACAGCAGCACCACCAAACTGAAGGAGCGCCTGGCCCGAGCCGTACGCACAGACGGGGCAGGCCCTGCCGGAGGCCTCACTGCTGTGTCTGAATTCTGCCAAGCTCTCCTGCCGTTCCAGCTGGTGCCCAAACCCTGTCACTGCCGAAGTGAGCGGAAAAGACTCGCGCACCGTCCTGCTGGCCTGCTCAGCACCGGGTGGAAGGCAGACGGGGACTCGGGGAGGAAAACGTCTGGGCTGACCTGCGCGGCGTGGCTGCTGGCGCTGCCTCACTGGAGCTGTAAGTAGAGCCCATTAAGGTCATAAAGAGTGAGTTCCAAAGTTTATCTCCGCTGGTTCCAGTCTTTGGAGAGATTTCTCCTTACATGATGCAGCTGATTTGGGGGAATCTGGTTAAGGAAAAAAATTAATCTAGACACGAACAAAATGAAAAACATTTTTGGAGGAAACAGGTTTGCCCGCCCCTCCCCTTTTTGTGTGATGTATCCAAGCTTCATTGCTAAAAAAAGGTGTTTAATAATTACCTTTGTTGACCTCTGTACCTTCTGGCTTCCTCTGCTCCTGGGCACAAGACATGGCCATTCCCAGGGCGCGACCGTGCAGACGCAGACGGTCGGCCGCCACGGGCAGCTCCCCGGCTCTGCAAGGTCAGGAAGAAGGTAAGGGTGATGGGTGGGCTCCCCGCTCGCCTGGCCAGGGCCTGGAGGGGACTTTATTAGAGAAAGGGGACAGGAAATGACCATCAGCTAGTTCAGACTTGAGCTTATTTTCCGCAGCAACTTTTTTCATTCCTTGCATCAGTCAATGGAAAAACATCTACACTGTGGGTCTATTACGCATGAGGTGCCCTAATCTTGGGAGTAATCATGAGAAACTCTGTGGACTGTGGAGGCAGAATGATTTTGAAGCGTGTCACTGCTGAAAATTAGGAGACAGCACAGGCGGTGAGCCTGGAGGCTTGGGGCTCTGACTGGGAAGTCTGGAGACGAGCACAGAGCCTCCTTTGCAGTCAGAGGCCTGAACAGCAGTCAGGGTGAATTGTTATTCCTGGGATGGAGCAGATTATCCCTAAGGGATCGACAAGTGTACTTTCCTGAAACAGTAGCTAACAACCTGCTTTGGGAGTCAGTTCCACGACGCAGATGCGTTAGCTGAGCAGAGCCCTCGCTGACCTGCAATTGTGTCTTGTCTGCCAGAGCATTTGCCGAATCAAGGCCCGCGCCCTCGTAGAACCGGCAGGAGGGAAAAATGGAGGAGACCAGCTTGAGAAAAAGGAGAGAGGATGAGAAGTCTGTCCAGAGTAATGAACCCAAGAGCACAACTCTCCAGAAGGAGGTAAGGCTGTCCTCCGCGCGGGCCCTGCCCAGGGCAAGCAGGGTGTGTTAATGTTAATGAGCAGCGGCAGGCAGAGAAGTCCCAATGGTCTCTGATTTGTAAAGTACGTTTCTAACTGAACAATTCTTTGGACTTACCTCTTTCCCTCTCACCAGCAAACTCAACATTTTTTTTTTGTGAGGAAGATCAGCCCTGAGCTAACATCCATGCTAATCTTCCTCTTTTTGCTGAGGAAGACCGGCTCTGAGCTAACATCTATTGCCAATCCTCCTCCTCCTTTTTTTTCCCCCAAAGCCCCAGTAGATAGTTGTATGTCATAGTTGCACATCCTTCTAGTTGCTGTATGTGGGACGCGGCCTCAGCTTGGCCGGAGAAGCGGTGTGTCGGTGCACGCCCGGGGATCCGAACCCGGGCCCCCAGCAGCAGAGCGCACACACTTAACCACTAAGCCACTGTGCCGGCCCAAACTCAACATTTTCTTGTGACGTTAATACATGTGTGCTTCTGTGTGCTGGGCAAGCGTCCGGAGGGGTCCAGTAGCTGCTCAGGGATGGTCAGAGAGGACCTTCTGATGTGCGAGTCTCCTCTATAGCATTTTCACCAAATGTCCGTTCCTCTCATGTTTGAATACCTCCAGTGATGGGAAGCTCCACTTGCGTCTCAGCGAGTCTAGCTGGGGTGGCGTGTCTGACGCGGGTGTGACATAGGTGACCCCTCTGAGTTGGAATGCAGTAAGGGCTGGACTTGGAGGTGCCTGCGGCCTAGAGGGGCCAGAGCGTGTGGTAGGTGGGCTGGCACTGGGCCTGCAAGGAGCGGGAGCTGTGGAGGGCGGGGAGTGGAGGCAGAAGGTGCTTGACGCTCCACACGGTGGAGAGTGAGTCCCAGGGGATGGCAGCAGCAGGGGGTGGGCGTGGAGGGACAAGCTCCAGGCTCCTAAAATGCGGAGCGAGGCCCCCAGAGCAAGATTAGGAGGGCAGGACGGGTGGGCTGAGCTGTGGGCAGAGCCTCCGGGAGCTCCGTGCCTGGCAGCAGAGGGGATGGAGGAAGGATCTGGGGGTTGACAAAAGGCAGTGGCATGGCTTGACTGTGGGTTGGCCTAGGATCTTGGGTCCCCAGGAGTCAGCTCATGGGCAGCAACACTCTCCCTTTTGGCCATGAAAGGAGCACGGCTGAGCTAACCCTAGACAGCCAGCTTCGGGGTGAGTGCAGACCTCAGCAGGAGGAAGGATTCTGGAGGGTCCCGGGGTGTCGGTGGGCCAACCCGGGCGTCAGAGGAGGAAAGCTGAGACTGCCTGGGAGCTCCCCCTCCCTGAGGCCGGACTGAAGCGGAGGCTGCTCCTGGCACCACTCCTCCAATCGTGTGTGTCCCCTGGCGACCCCATTCCTTGTTCTCTGGGCTCCAACCCTGACCGCAGCCTCTGCCCAGACAGGCGAGCGCCTGCACGTTCACCTCGGGCTCCAGAAAGCAGGCCGGTGGCTTCCGAGGGCTGACGTTACACGGAGGGGCCTGAATCAGGCATTTTCTTCCTTTAAAGAAGTTTTTTTCCCTTGATTCGTGTCTAATTTACATGCAGTGAAATGTGCAGATCTTTAGTTCCCTCAGGAGGGCCCCCAACCCTGAGTGTCTCTCCCCGTGGACTAGTTTTGCCTACTACAAGCAAAGCCCCAGAAGCGGGCCCTGGTGTCATCCCGGCAATGGCCCGGGGCAAATCCCCCGGCACACGGGCCTGCCTGGGGCCGCACCGGCCGCGGGAGGGAGACGGCTGATGGGGCCATCCGAGCAGGAGCCGGGCGGCAGCATGAACTCTCCTCTTCCTTCCTCTCTGTCCCAGGTGGGCCTGATCAGTGGCATCTGCATCATCGTGGGCACCATCATCGGCTCGGGGATCTTCATTTCCCCCAAGTCTGTGCTCCGCAACACGGAAGCCGTGGGGCCCTGTCTCATCATATGGACGGCTTGTGGGATCCTTGCAACACTGGGTAACAAAGACGCTGCTCCCTGGTGAACTCTCCCTGTTGAAATGTGGGGACAGGCCATCCGAGCACCGTCTGTGCCCTGGTCTTGCTGCTGCTGGGGTCCCTCTCAGTGCTGGCGTGCAAACAGGCGTAAATCGGTGCACTGAACATCCACATGTCCAACGGCCAGGACTCCAGGCAGTCAGATGAGAGGACACCATGGAGGGGCCCTGTGAGCACGGCCCCCCAAGGGAAGGAGGGCTCCCTTGGGCAGCAACATCTCACCAGGGCCCGGGGACCCTCCTCTCTGTGTTCCAGGCGCCCTGTGCTTTGCGGAGCTCGGTACGATGATCACGAAGTCGGGGGCCGAGTACCCTTACCTGATGGAAGCCTTCGGGCCCATTCCTGCCTATCTCTTTTCCTGGACCAGCCTGTTCGTCATAAAGCCCTCGTCCTTTGCCATCATCTGTCTCAGCTTTTCTGAGTACGTTGCTGCGCCTTTCTACTCAGGCTGCGAGCCTCCTCAGGTTGTCGTGAAGTTCCTGGCCGCTGCTGCCATCTGTGAGTACCCGAGTGTGAAACCCTGGGCAGGAGTCAGAAAAAAGACCTGGCACAGATGACATGGGGGGACGCTGGCCTTCGCCTCTCCACGGCCAGAAAGAGGCCGAGTGGGCCTGGAGGCACTGGGGAGAAGCAGGGCCCCAAAGCCCATCACCCTTCGGCGTCCCTGCTCTGCAACCCATCGGAGCTGTCAGGGAAGGGTGGTCACGCTGTCCCGCAGGGCAGTGCTTGGCTGGGGCCTGGCTGCTTCTCCGTCGCCCTCGGAGGAAGGCAGCCCTGGCCTGAGTTCAATGTCCTCATCAGGTGCATTTGATGAATGTGGTGGTGGAGAGCGGAGGTTGGGGGTGGGCCTGGCAATAGAAAGGAGACTCTTTCCAGAGCCTTAAGAAAGGAGGGAGACGTTGAGCCCATCGACACAGAATGTTGCCCCCCGACTCTCCCAGTGCTCATCACCACGGTGAACTCGCTGAGCGTGCGGCTGGGCAGCTACGTCCAGAACGTGTTCACAGCGGCCAAGCTGGTGATCGTGGCCATCATCATCATCAGTGGACTTGTCCTCCTGGCCCAAGGTGACCTTGGGCTGGAGGGGGTGGTGGGCTACAGCACAGACCTTTTCATCTGGAGCTCTTGCTCCTAAGCATATCTCGAAGGCAGGAATTCAATCGAAAGAGTTTAGTTTCCTGACTTTTCAGTTCGTTTAATAACCTGAGGTCATAAGTCATGCCCTTCTTTCACGTGGAGATGATGCAAAGTCCCAATCTGGTCAGCTGACACACACTATTCACTGTCTGGCTTAATTACAGGGAATACAAGGAATTTTGAAAATTCTTTTGAGGGCACAAAACTGTCTGTGGGAGCCATCAGTCTGGCATTTTATAATGGACTCTGGGCGTACGACGGCTGGTAAGGATGTCACATCTGGTTGTGGGGTTCTTTAGCCTACCTGAACTGAAACCCTGTGGGAAGCCATGACGTCTCCTTGTGGGGGTTTGGTGGGACCTTAAAATTCACTTTTGCATCTCCCTTTTGTTAAGCACCACCTCCACCCTTCTGTTCTCCTCGGACCCCAGAGACACCGAGACACCTGCCCCTTTCCCAGCCCCTCACGTGGCACCAGCCCTTGACACAGTAGCCTGTGAGCAGGCAGTGCGGGGCCCTGTGCCAGAAGCTTGACCAGACACAAACAGACTCAGCTGAATTGGAGGCAGTCAGGGCTACCCAGGCACTTGACAAGGCAAGAATATTCGTAGCACTTCTGTTTCAACCTTGAAAACACCTGGTTCAGTCGGTGAGATTGTGTTGTGTCCCTTAAGGAAGAAGTGTGGCCATCCGTGACGCTAGGCTTTCCCTCAAGCAAAGCATCTGTAGGCTTCCTTCTCTTTGCAGACAGAGAATTGTCCATTTCCTTCAAAGCACCTTGAGATCTCACTCCTCCCGATAACTGTTGACACTTCACACGATTCTATGGAGGGCAGAGACTTACCGTCTGACAGAGGCGCAGATCTCGGTAGCCCCATCATCTCCAGGGCTTTCTCTGAAAGAAATTACCCTGGAACTCCTGCAGGATAATTTTCTCTGTGGTGGAGAATCTTAAATGGGGCCAACATGTATTATTTTGTGTTTCACAATCTTAGCAAAGGAAGTCAAAGTTATGTTACTCATGTTACTTTTCTTTCTCTAGGAATCAGCTCAATTATATTACAGAAGAACTTAGAAACCCTTTCAGGTAAGAAAGCTGAGTCAGGCCGGGAGACAACGGGCAGGCAAGCATTTTTCTCTCCTCCCGAGCAAAGTGGAACTGCTTCCTCCCATTATTCCATGAGCCCCTCCAGACAGTACAGGGTTTCTTGAAGCTCATTTACACTCATTAGAGTTTGGTTTTATTTTGGGTAGTGGAATGGTTGCTGGAGGAAGGAAGAATTCTAACTTTATCTCTGGCTTATTACTTTCTTTAAGTAATTAAGGAAACAGTCTTTTTTTTGTATAGATGTCTTAATAGTTTATACCATTGTGAAATTTTAGTTGTACATTATTGTTTGTTAGTCACCATATAAATGCCTCCCTTCACCCCTTGTGCCCAACTCCCAGCCCCCTGCCCCCTGGTAACCACCATACAGTTCTATCTGTCCGTGTGTTAGTTTATCTTCCACATATGAGTGAAATTATGCGATGTTTGTCTTTCTCTCCCTGGCTTATTTCGCTTAACATAATACCCTCCACGTTTATCCATGTTGCTGCAAATGGGATGATTTTGTCTTTTTTTATGGCTGAGTAGTATTCCATGGTATATATATATACCACATCTTCTTTATCCAGTCATCAGTCGAGGGACACTTGGGTTGTTTCCACTTCTTGGCTATAGTGAATAATGCTGCAATGAACATAGGGGTACATAAACCTCTTTGGATTGTTGATTTCAGGTTCATTGGATAAATACCCAGTAGTGGGATAGCTGGATCATAGGGTACTTCTATTTTTAATTTTTTGAGGAATCTCCATGCTGTTTTCCATAGAGGCTGCACCAGTTTGCATTCCCACCAGCAGTGAATGAGGGTTCCCGTTTCTCCACAACCTCTCCAACATTTGTTATTTTTTGTCGTGGTGATTATAGCCATTCTCACGGGTGTAAGGTGATATCTTAGTGTAGTTTTGATTTGCATTTCCCTGATGATTAGTGATGTTGAACATCTTTTCATGTGCCTATTGGCCATCTGTATATCTTCCTTGGGAAAGTACCTGTTCATATCCTCGGCCCATTTTTTGATCGGGTTGTTTGTTTTTTTGTTGTTCAGTTGTCTGAGTTCTTTAAATATTATGGAGATTAACCCCTTGTCAGATATGTGATTTGCAAATATTTTCTCCTAGTTGGTGGGTTGTCTATTCATTTTGATCTTGGTTTCATTTGCCTTGTAGAAGCTCTTTAATCTGATGAAGTCCCACTTGTTTATTTTTTTTTTTAGTTTCCCTTGTCCGAGTAGACATGGGATCCGAAAAGATTCCTTTATGACCAATGTCAAACAGTGTACTGCCTATATTTTCTTCTAGGAGTTTTATAGTTTCAGGTCTCATCTTCAGGTCTTTGATCCATTTTGAGTTAATTTTTGTGTATGATGAAAGCAGGTGGTCTACTTTCATTCTTTTGCACGTGGCTGTCCAGTTTTCCCAGCACCATTTATTGAAGAGACTTTCCTTTCTCCATTGAATGTTCTTAGCTCCTTTGTCGAAGATTAGCTGTCCGTGGTTTTATTTCTGGCCTTTCAATTCTGTTCCATTGATCTGTGTGTCTGTTTTTGTACCAGTACCATGCTGTTTTGATTACTGTCACTTTGTAGCATATTTTGAAGTCAGGGATTGTGATGCCTCCAGCTTTGTTCTTTTTTCTCAGGATTGCTTTAGCTATTTGGGGTCTTTTGTTGCCCCATAAGAATTTTAGTATTCTTTGTTCTATTTCCGTGAAGAATGTCATTGGGATTCTGATTGGGATTGCATTGAACCTGTAGATTGCTTTAGCTAATATGGACATTTTAACTATGTTTATTCTTCCAATCCATGTGCATGGAATATCTTTCCATTTCTTTATGTCATCATCGATTTCTTTCAATAATGTCTTATAGTTTTCATTGTATAGGTCTTTCACCTCCTTGGTTAAATTTATTCCTAGATATTTTATTCTTTTTGTTGCAATTGTAAATGGGATTATCTTTTTGAGTTCTCTTTCTGTTAGTTCATTATTAGCATACATAAATGCAACTGATTTTTGTAGGTTGATTTTGTACCCTGCAACTTTGATGTAGTTGTTGATTATTTCTACTAGTTTTCCAATGGATTCTTTAGGGTTTTCTATATATAAAATCATGTCATCTGCAAATAGTGATAGTTTCACTTCTTCGTTGCCTATTTGGATTCCTTTTATTCCTTTTTCTTGCCTAATTGCTCTGGCTAAAACCTCCAGTACTATGTTGAATAAGAGTGGTGAGAGTGGGCACCCTTGTCTTGTTCCTGTTCTCAGAGGAATGGCTTTCAGTTTTTCCCACTTGAGTATAACGTTGGCTATGGGTTTTTCATACATGGCCTTTATTATATTAAGGTAATTTCCTTCTATACCTGTTTTGTTGAGAGTATCTCTGGCTTATTTTGCTTTATAAACAATTCGATTTTACTGCCCTGGAGTCTGAGAGATGGAGAGTTCTTTCTCATTTGAAAATGTCACATGTCCCTGCTGGGTCTCTGCTGTTCCACAAGCCCCCTGCATCTGGGTGGGCCTCAGGAAGGGCAGCTGTGCCCCTAGCCCACCACAGGGAGCAGGTGGAGGGCTGGCCAGGGCTGGTGGGAAGAAAGGACTGGAACAAAAACAACCATCTCATGAGTCTCTAACGGGACGCTCTGGTCTGACCCTGGGTCCCTGGGTCCCCACCCCTCCCAGAAACCTGCCCCTGGCCATCATCATCGGGATCCTGCTGGTGACAGGGTGCTACATCCTCACGAACATTTCCTACTTCACTGTGATGACCGCGACCGAGCTCCTGCAGTCCCAGGCTGTGGCCGTGGTGAGTGCCCAGGGTCTCTGCGGGAGGTGCCGCAGTCCTCGGGAGGGGGCCGGCAAGTGTAAATGCTCAAGTTGAAGTACCCTCACAGGAGAGGAGGGAAGCAGTCATCTAGGAGATGATGGGGAGGGAATGGGTTAAGGCAGCACCAAAGACCCAGGCTAACGGTCTGAGGTGACAGGCCGCCAGCCGGGTGGCAGGTTCTGCTTTCCCAGCACGGCCACCAGCTGGGTGCAGGCACAGCACGCAGGTGGAGCAGGGCTGGATCTAACCGGGGGCGGGGGTGTGATAGGCAGGTACAAGGGAGAGAAAGTGCAAGGAAGTGAGTGAAGGAGGGAGTTACAACAATGATTGTGAGTTTAAGCTGGGTAAGGAGGGCAGTGAGGACAAGATGGATGCACCTGAGGGACAGCAGAGAGGCTGGGTGGGGTCAACGTGCTGGAGGCCTCGTCGAGTGGGGGAGGACAGGAGATGAACGGGGAACAGACCCTGAGGTGACAAGGACGGGGCACATGGAGAGATGCAGTCCTGGTCAGGAAGAGGTCACTGACCACGAGAATAGGAGGCTGAGGTGGAAGGGAGCACGAGGTCATTCTGAGTGGGGAGGTCAGGGAAGTGACACTGCAACAAGGAAGAATCATGACAGGGGGCCGTGGAGAAGAGATGTCTGTGACCAGCAAAAGATGCTGAGATACTCTGCGGAGGAGAAAAGAGGCCCCGCTGTTTGCCTCCCTGGTGGTGCTCTACTTTTCCTCTCCCGGGGGAGGCAGAGGCTGTGCCCACCCAGGGGGAGGGGCCAGGCCCTCAGTGAGGGCGCAGCAGTCTTCTTGGGACACGTGGCTCTTGGGGGCCGTGCACGCCCCTCAGGACTCTTCTCACCTCTCTCCCCAGACCTTTGGTGACCGCGTTCTCTATCCAGCCTCCTGGGTCGTCCCGCTCTTCGTGGCCTTTTCAACCATCGGTGCTGCCAACGGGACCTGCTTCACGTCGGGCAGGTAGGGGACCCCCACAGCCAGCCCGGGCAGAGGGCGCAGAGCCGATCCCACACTCGAAGAAGACAAGCGTCAGGGCGGAAATCTCTAGGGCCCTGCCTCACGGCACAAGAAGGAAGCCTGGAGGAGTCTGGAGAAGGGAGGGGAAAGCTCAGACAGGCTTGCGCTGGACATGGCTGGCCCCACTGAAGCGAGGCCCTGAGTCCCCATCAGGGGACAGCACGAGGCAGAGTTTGGTGACAGAAGCGTTGGTTCATGCTGGAACTTTTGCTCACCTAATATTTCTTGAACATCTTCTCATGCTAATAGATACACACTCTAGATCAGGGACTGGCCAACTTTTCCTTAAGCGCCAGACAGTAAATATTTTGGGCTTGCAGGCCATGTGAGTCTGTCACAACCACCCAACTCTGTCTTTGTGGCACGAAAGCAAACAGCTGTGGTTATGTTCCACTCACACTTTATCTACGTAAACAGGACGGTCTGCCAGTCCCTGCCCACCCTTGGACCCTACTGGCCTAGAGACGGTAGCCGGTAGCCGCTGTGTTGTCTTCCACTCTACGATGTAGCCTAATTTAACACAGCCTCTGCTCGAGGGCTGGGTGGGGGTTGCTTTCGTAAACACTGCTGCAGGGAACCTCCTTGAACACGTCTTTGCCCAGTTGTCCAGTGTTCTGGACGGATACATTTCTAAGAGTGAAACTGCTGAAGGTTATACACTTATACACTTAAAAAATGAAATGTATACCAAAAAATCCTTCTTCCAAAGCTGTATATAGGTAGTGCCAGTCTTGCAGCTTTACATCGTCTAAAGCGTTTTGGCTATTCTAGATTCTTTGCATTTCTATACGAACTTTAGAACCAGCTTGCCAATTTCTACAAAAAAGCCTTCTGGGATTTTGATCAGGACTGCGTTGAACCTACAGATCAGCTGGAGAGGACCGCCATCTTAAAAGTATTGATTCTTCCAATCTAGGGGCATGGATTGTCTCTCCGTTTATTTAGATCTTCTTTAATTTAAAAAAAAATTTTTTTTTGAGTAGTTTTCAGTATACAGTTCTTGCACATATTTTGTCAGATTTATCCTGGAATATTTCATGTTTTTTCATGCTATCATAAATGGTATTTTTTTAAATGTAAAAGTTTTCAGTTTCTGATAGCTTTTGCTAATATACAGAAACAATTTCAACAGCTTTACTGAGGTATAAATACCATAAAACTCACTTTGTCATTGTATAATTTAGTGATTTTAGTGAACTTATAAAGCTGTGCAAGTAGCATCACAATCCAACTTGAGAATATTTCCATCATCCCAACAAGTTCCCATAGCCTAACGATAGTTATTCCCTGCTCCCACCTCCAGCCCTAGGCAACCATTGACCTGCTTCTGTATCTGCAACTTTGCCTTTTCTGGACATTTCATCTAAATGGGCTACAACTTGTCATTTGCATCTGGCTTCTCTCACTTAGCATATTATTTTTGAGGTTCATTCCTTTTAATTGCTGGATAGTACTCCATTATTTGGATATACCACATTTTGTTTAGCCATTCACCAGCTGACAGGCTTTTCGATTGTTTCCAGTTTAGGCTGTTATGAATACTGCTGCTATGAGTATTCACTCATATGTCTTTTTATGGATGTACGTTTTTATTTCTCTTGGATAGATTCCTAGGAATAGAACTGCTGAGTCATATAGTAAATTTATGATTAACTTTTAAAGAAACTGCTTAACTGTTTTCCAAGTGGTTGTTCCATTTTAATTTCTATAAGCAATGCATGAGAGTTCCAGTTTCTCCATATCCTCACCAACACTTGGTAGTGTCTTTTTGATTATTGTCCTTCTAGTGAGTATGTCACTGTGGTCTTTTTTTTTTTTTTTTGGTGAGGAATATTGGCCCTGAGCTAATATCCGTGTCAGTCTTCCTCTATTTTGTATGTGGGACGCTGCCACAGCATGGCTTGACGAGCAGCGTGTAAGTCCACGCCAGGATCTGAACCCACGAACCCTGGGCTGCCAAAGCGGAGCGCGCAAACTTAACCACTACACCACTGGGCCAGCACTCGCTGTGGTTTTAATTTGCATTTCCCTAATCACTAATGATACTGAGCATCTTTTCATGTGCTTATTAGCCATTCATATATCTTCTGGTGAAATCTCTATTCAAATCTTTTGCCCATTTTTAAAACTGGGCTGTTTGTCATTGAGTTGTAAGAGTTCTTCATATATTCTGGACACAAGCCCTTTACCAGGTATCTGATTTGCACATATTTTCTCCCAGTCTGTGGTTTGTCTTCCCATTTTCTTAATGGTGTTTCTGAAACACTAATGTTTTTAACTGTGACAAAGTCCAGTTTATCAATTTTTTTTCACGTGTCATGCTTTTATTGTCGTATCTAAGAACCTTTGCCCAACCCAAGGCCACAAGGATTTTCTCTTCTGCTGTACCCTAGTTTTAAGGGTTTAGCTCCTCTGTTTGGGTCCACGGTCCACTGGGAGTTAAGTTTGTATGGTTCTGCACCCGCGCAGCTTGTGGCTGGGCCAGGGGCTGGCGCTATACTGAGTTACGTTGGATACAACTTTTTATGGGGTCAAATCGAAGATTTTTCCTTGCTGGTTTCTGAGTTTTCTATCTCCCATAGACAAACCTTCCTCTTTCCTTTCAAGAATATCCACCTATGTTTTCTTCTAGCGTTTTACTTTAGCTCTTTGATCAATCTGGAATGTATTTTGATATGAGGCAGAAACCTCACTGTTTTTCCCCAAACCTTAACCATGTTGTCTCAATATTATGTACTAAATAATCCATCCTTTCCCCTACTGGTTTGAAATGCCACCATTATCACTCCCAATGTACTTGGTTCCCTTTGTTTCACTGAGAGATGTTTCCTGTGCTATTATCATATTCATTAAAACAGTTTACAGCTCCAGCAATGGAACACCTGGCAGAACTAGTGCTCCCCCATCAGACTTCTCCTCCCTGTTTAGCATTCCACGTGCATTTACATAATTTTGTCCAGTTCCAAAAGTCCTGCGTGCATTTTGATTGCATGGACTTTATATTATTAGTTTGTGGAGAACTGGTGGAATTTAAAGAGTGAATTCACAGCACCATCTTGAGTCTGTCTCCCCTCCATCTAGCAACTCCTTTCCTCCTAGTTTCACTGCCTTGTTCTGCAAATTAATACCATGTTTATGTCTTTTCAAAGTTCAAATACATAGTTTTAAATAGATGGACCTTTTCGGTCTTTGTGTCCCTGACTTCTAATTTTATTGTACTGTAGCCAGAGTGTGTGTCTTTATGATATCACTTCTTCGGAAGTTTTAAGACTTCCCTTGTGGCTTACTGCAATTTTTATGTTTCCTGTGGTCTTGAAATAACGTGTCTTAATGTATTCTAGATTTTTCTATCATCGTCAGGCTTGTACCTTGACTGTTCAAATCTTCCGCCCTCGGTGGATTTGTCCTTTTTTGCCTTCTATGTTTCAAGGGCCCCCGTTTTTTGTATCTTCTTGGTAGATTGTTCTCCTTTTCAGTAGGGACTCCCCCTCTTTTTGCCTTAAATTCTGTTTTGTCTGATATTGATATTGCTGAGTCAGCTGTCTTTAGGCCGCTCTTTTTGGCAACACGTCCCATCCCTTTTATCTTTAACCTCTCAGTGTCGTCTGGCCTGGGCTTGTGTCTCTTTCAACAACCCAACTTGCAAGTCTCCAGCTGGGCAAGCTGAATCTGATCACATCTTTTGGGGGGTTTCAGGTTTTGTTTCGTTTTTTTTTTGAGGAAGACTGGCCCTGAGCTAACATCTGTTGCCAATCTTCCTCGTTTTTAACTTTTTCTCCCCAAAGCCCCAGTAGATAGCTGTATGTCATAGCTGTACATCCTTCTAGTTGCCCTATGTGCAACGCTGCCTCAGCATGGCTTGACGAGTGGCGCATAGGTCCACGTCCAGGATCTGAACCCGAGAACTCCAGGGTGCCGAAGCAGCGTGCACGAACTTAAGTGCTACGCCACCGGGACGGCCCCTGAATCTGATCACATTTAACGTGCTTACTGCTACAGCTGGATTAATTTCTAACATATTCCTTTGTTTTCTTGGTTTATAAAAAAATCTTATCCTGATTTATTATCCATCAAATTTCCTTTATTCCTTTCTTTCTTCTGCCAACGTGGTACATTTCTATTACCTTAGCAATTACCCTTAACATTTAAAACAAATAACTAATAGAGTCTATCAGTATCCCAGTTCTCTTCCATCTCTTAGAAGGACTCTCCCTTCCACATCGTCTAGCATATCAGCTATACCTTGTTTATAAACCCACTCCTGTGAAAAACTGTTCCTCATGACAAAAATAAAAAATCCAATACATATTTACGCGCCAACATGTTTTACTGCTGATTCCCTAATGTTGCTTCTTCGATCAACTCCTTCTGAGTTCACTGTTTTTCTGGGGGAGTAGACTTGTTTTTGGGTGTGGGGGTAGACTTTTTGTCTGTCCCGAAGACTTCTTGTCTGTTTTGCTGGGGTAGACTTTTTAATAGTTTCCAAGGAGGATTGGAGAATAGTAAATGTCTCATAGTCATTGTTTATCTAAAAATGTATTTATTTTGCCAGTAGTCTTGAATGATAGTTTAGCTATGCAGAATTCTAATCTGAAAATCAATTTCCCTCATCACTTTGAAAATATTATTTCTCATGAGATGTTTGCTATTGTTCTGATTGTCCTTATTTTGTAGTCAATCTTTTAAATTCAGTAGCTTTAAAATTTTTTTTTTCCTTCCACTATAATATTTATTTCAGGGTATGTTTTTATTTGTCTAGAACTGGGTTCAGTGGAAGGCTCAGTGTTCTCTGATTCTGTAAAAGCTCTCTGCTCTTCTCTGAGTTTGCTTTACCCCCATTCAAGGTGTTCGAGCTTCTTCCTGTTTCTTAATTTCCTGTCTACATTTTCCATTTCTCTATGCTTCATACTTAGATCTAGCTTCTAATTTATTTTTTCATTTATCTATTGTTGATTACATTTTTAACTACAGTAGCTTTTTCTTTTTTATAAATTACTTTGCTCCTCTTCCCTTTTTCTCTCTAACATTTTGAAGTCTTTGGGATGACAGAATCGTCAGGAGTTCTCGGGGGAACTAAGCTGTTTGCTTGCATCTGCTCACTCCTAATTTGTCTGATTTTTTAAAAATATGGAAGTTCTGCACAGCCTGGATTTAGAAGTGCTGGCCCTCCTGTGTTTGCTTCTGTCAGGTGCCCCAGGCACTGGGGTCCACTGGCCCCTGCCTAGTCTTCACATCTGTTTCTTGCATAACTTGTAGGACTCAGAGGTATCTCCTCCTGGAAAGGGCCTCCCCAAACCAAACCCACACTTTCCCCACCTTAGGTGACTCCACAGCACCAGGATGTATTTCTCTCGGATGCATTTAACCACCTCACTTACTTCTCCAAAAGTCACCTCCAGAGGCCGGACTGCTACCCGAAGATGCCAGGGTCCCAACTCGGTCCCTTTCTCTGCGGCCCCGGTTGTGAAGCTCAGGACACACTTGCTCAGTGACGTACAGCAGCCTGCTCTCTCATCCGCTGACTTCCACGTTACTGCTTTTCCAGGCTTGTGTATGTTGCGGGCCGGGAAGGCCACATGCTGAAAGTGCTGTCTTACATCAGCGTCAAGCGCCTGACGCCGGCCCCTGCCATCATCTTTTATGTAAGTATGTATTCCGCCAGGAAAACACCCCCGTAAGCAGAGGGTCCCTCAGTTTGGATGGGGAAGTAAACCTGTATTGCTAAGCCCAGGGGTTTTCAAGTGACCCAGGTTCCTTTAGTCCTCGACATGACACAGGTATATAAAGAAGCCAGGACAATTCAAACAATTTACCCACCTCTGCTCCTTGTTCTAATGTATCCATTGAAAGACACCGTTTTGAGTCTTCCAAGCTTGCACCCTCTACACTTTTTACATGTACATTTGTATGTTCTGGTCCCTGGTAACAAACTATACAAAAACCTGCTAGCTTATGGGCAGGAGAAAAGGCATTTTACAAGGTGGCTGCTGACAACAGCTTCTCATGATGGCCTGATAATTTAGAAGTCACTGGATCCTTGTGCAGTAAAGGCCCTCGGACATCTTCTAATTGGAGTTTCTCAGTGGGGAGTCCTTGGTTGTGTGCGACTGTCTTGGGCACCTATGGTCCATCCCCACCCTAGCCTCGGGGCCAGACTCCTCCTCCCACCCCCAGAGGAGAATCACTACTCTATCAACCTACTCCCTTTGAAGATAAGAAAACAGACGCAGACTTACAAGGCCCTTGAAGTTACGAGTCCAAGGCCATGCAGCTAACGCAGGTCGAGACCAGACCTAGACAGCCTGCGTTTCAGGGTCCAGGGCCCTTACCTGTGATGAAGACTCTCTGGAAGGGAAATGCATACTGAGGAAGCTGGTGCAATATACACACGTTTTGTTCTCCTCCTGCTGCTTCAAAGAGTCACAAACTTTCCAAGGGGTTCCATCAGGCCTCAAGAGAACACCCACCACAGCCAAAGTCTGGTTTAACCCCCACGATGATGGAATACATGGGGGTTTCTTTCATGAGAAAGTGTTTATCCACAGAAAGAACCGCTTCTTCAGTCTTCTGTGACGTGATAAGGATAATGTTTCTAGGTACTAATGACCTGAGACTTGCTTCTTCTTTCTACCAGGGTATCGTAGCGACTATTTATATCATCCCTGGTGACATAAACTCTTTAGTCAATTACTTCAGCTTCGCAGCGTGGCTGTTTTATGGCCTGACGACTCTAGGACTGATTGTGATGAGGTTTACGAGGAAAGAACTGGAAAGGCCTATCAAGGTAGGTTTAGGGCCCTGAACGCCACAAGTGGCCCTGCTTTCTTGAAATGAATTAGACAGAGGTCACTATTTTAAATTCTAGGGCGTGCTTTCTATTTCCAACCTGCCTCTACTCTTCTCTTGAATATCATATTTTGGAGTGGAGTTTGCTCTTTAATTCATTTCATATTATAGTTCATGATCCAATTAGCCATCTAATTATTAATTTATTAAGTTTTCGAGAATACCTGTGACCTATCTAACCAAAGCAAGGTGTCCAGTTCTGACAGTTCTAGTATCTCTCGTGCGTACACTTTTCATAGACTGATGGAGACTTCTGATTTCTGGCCCAGACCCATTCCTGTGCATGCAGCCACTAATAGTCCACATTTGCAATGTTTGGGGCCCCCTCCCACCTCCCTGCATGACTGGTGTGGGTCTATATACCAATGAGGAAGAAGAAGAACTGATTTTGTTTTGCTTACGTTATGGGTTTTTTTAGTTTTTTGTTTATAAAACAACTGTGCTATTTAATTCTTATGATAAAAACAAGTGTAGAGGCTGGCCCAGTGGTGTAGTAGTTAAGTGTGCACACTCTGCTTTGGTGGTCTGGGGTTCGCAGGTTCAGATCCTAGGCGTGGACCTATACAGCGAGGTAGGTAGGTCCTCTCAGCAAAAAGAGGAAGATTGGCAACAGATGTTAGCTCAGGGCCAATCTTCCTCACCAAAACAAAAGTGAAAAAACCAAGCGTAGATATAAGAAAAAGGGAGGCAAGCTGAGGGCTTAAGTAACTAGGACAAGAACAAGGATAACATTTGTAGCTTTAGGATTTCGTATCAGAAATCTGCCTCGTGGGCCTGCTGGCACTGTATCTTGACCGTCACCAAGTCTCCGGAGTCAGCTGACACATGAAGCAGCCTGCCTGGCATCAGGCAGTTCCACCTGAGTCAGGTTGTCAGCAGGCAAAATTGTGACAGGAGTATAGATTTTTGATCTGCACAAAATCCCTCAAACAGAAATAAAAAGGATTTGAGAGAAAATAACTAAGGAGACAGGAGTAAAAAAGGAATCTAACACATGTATAAATGGAGTCCCTGAAGAAGAAAATGAAAGTAACAGAGTTCTTAGAAACTATAATTCAAGAAACATTTCCTGGGGAAGGAGGGAAAGTGGGAGGGGGGACCACGAAAGGAGGGGGGACTTGAGCCAACATACTGAAAGGCATACAAGGCAACTGGGAAATCTGAGCTAGAATGGGCAATAAAGAAATATATTCTGATAAAATTTCGTACTGCTCATCAAGCCATGCTGTGGCGTCGTCCAATATACAAAGTAGAGGAAGACTGGCACAGATGTTAGCTCAGGGACAATCTTCCTCAAGCCAAAAAGAGGAAGATTGGCAAAGAATATTAGCTCAGGGCCCGTCTTCCTCACCAAAAAAAAAATAATAATAAGGGAAATTGGCCCCTGGTGCGAGTTTTCCCGTAGAACATCACTCTTAAGGGCAGAAGATTGACAGCGAGTAGAAGATGCTTGTATACAGAAATACAAAGCAACCTGAGAGAATGGAGATCAAACTTACCAGCTGTATGAATAACCTGGCTTATTCAGTTTAAATGAGCTTAAATCAGTCATTAAAAGAAAAAGATTTCTCAGGCAGGTTTACAAAGCTGTGAAAAATTAAAAATAAAAGGATAGTCAAAGAAATAGCAGGCAAATGAAAATACACAAAAAACAGGTTGTGATTTTATCAGATAAGCACTCAGGCCCAAAGCACAGACAAGGACCATTTAGATATGTTAACAGCTAAACCTCACAACAAAGAGATAACAGTTATGGAAACTTTTCACCAAACCACAGTCATTATATCTTTATGAAGCAGAAACTACAGGAAATCCAAGGAGAAACAGACACACAGGCTAATAGGAGACTTGAAAACACCTCCCTCAGTCCAACACAGATCCAGCCGTGTCACTAGCAAAAGTGAAAGGAGATCTAAAAATTATAAAAAAGGTAGATCTTAGAGATTTATACCAAACTCTGACCCCCAAAATAGCAAACACACCTTTTCAAGTGCATATGGGACATGTGTGAAAATTGACAATATTTAATGCCACAAGAAAAACCTTGATAAAAAAAATTAGGAATAATACAAACTGCATTCTCTGTCTATAATGCAATAAAACAGGAAATTAATTTAAAAATTAAACTTTTCTGTCCAAGAGGAAATCGGAAATGAAAGTACATAAATTCCTAAACATAACAATAATGAAAACAAGACATATAATCTATGATCAGTGCTTGGAAGAAGTTTCACTGCATTAAATACGTATATGAATAAAAGTGAAGACATTAAATAGGCAACTCAAAAAGCAAGATAAAGAACAAAGAAAACCAAGAGCGGAGAAGGAATTTAGTATACGTAGAAGAAAGAACTTAAGGTTCTTAAGTGGCTTATCTGATTTTTAGAAAACATAAATTGTTTTGTAGTCCAAGAATGAAGAAAACCTTTCCTATGACTCAAAATCCAGAAGTAATAAGGAAAAAAATGGACAAACATAACCCCAATAAAATAAAAATTTATGTGCTGAAAAAAAGAGAAGTTAAAAACACATACATAACATAATGAGGAAAATATCTGCAATAACATCACAAAAAAAGGGCTAATATTCTTAACAGTTCCTAAAAATTGAGATGGGACTTACCAACACCCAAAATGGACAAAGAAATAAAAAGAAAAAATGCAATGACACCTAAAAATGAAACAAATGAACCCCACAAGCTCCATTTTGCTCCTAATAAGAGAATGCATACCAAAATGCTAATACGATACCATTTCTTGCGTATCAGATGAGCAGAGATCCCGAAGTTTGGCCACACTCCAAGCCCTCTCATACACTGCTAGTGGAATACGGATGGTATCACCACTACGGAGGGAAAGTTGGCAATATCTAGCAAAATTATCTGTGCATTTACCTTTTGACCCAGTCATGCCACTTTTAGGTAATCTATCCCAAAGTGAAGTTGGCAAAAATATGAAATACATACAAGGTTATTCATTGCAGCATTAAGTATAATAGCAAAAGATTTAACTCAACCCAAATATCAATTAATGGGAGACTGGTTGAATAAATTTTGGTATATGCACAAGTAGAGTGGTATGCAGAAATGGATGAGCAAGAATTTTATATACTAGTATGGCATCATCTTGAATACGTTAAAGGAACAGAGCAAGGTGCAACACTATCTTTTGTGTATTTGTCATCTCTAAGGGTAGTGGAAGTGAACATGCACATGTTAGTGCATATACGTGTGTTTGTCCTCAAAAAGAAATAATGGAAGAATAAAGCAAAATCCAGAAAAAATGGTTAAAATTATATTAAAAAAGTTAAAATATAAAAGGGAAAAAATGAAGCCCTAAAAACTGAAAACAAATGCAGATAAAGAAACCTTACTCTATAACAAGTACATGACATAACCACACAGAGAAAATAATTACCAGAACTAATTACTAATTAGAGTGCAGTATTTTGTTTTGTTTTGTTTTTTTCCCCCGAAGCCCCAGTAGATAGTTGTCTGTCATAGCTGCACATCCTTCTAGTTGCTGCATGTGGGACGCGGCCTCAGCATGGCCGGAGAAGCGGTGCGTCGGTGCGCACCCGGGATCCGAACCCGGGCCGCCAGCAGCAGAGCACGCGCACTGAACCGCTAAGCCACGGGGCCAGCCCTAGAGTGCAGTATTTTGAATGAATCTCCCTTGTGGATCACATTCTGTGGTTAAAAATCTGAAACTTCATATTACTACCTGTAGGAGTAGTATTGGTAGAGTTACTTTGTCATTTATTATAGGCACATCGTAGGATAAAGCAAATAAGTAATTATGTTAAAGCCACTAAGAAGTAAGATTTTCAGAAGCATAAGGAAAACGACCTAAGTCTAAAGTAAAGAAAGGAAAAAAATGCAATCTTACATTCAAATCGGAATATCAGCATGAATTTGTAAATTTTTTTCCCTTCTTGAAAAAACTCATTTCATCTCTGTCCTTGTAAAAGAACAAGGAGTCCTCCAATCAGCCAGACTGTGGTGTCTGAATGCCATTTCTGACTAAAGGGAAACAGCTCTCTGCAGAGATGAAGAATCCAGATCTGGTGGAGATGGATTCCTCTCCTGCCCCTGAACCCAGTGACAGTCAGACATGAAGTGCCTCTTGACGTGTTACAGAAGGAAGCACAGGGCTCTAACTAGGACGCATTCCTGCCCTCAGATCTAACCACTCATTTACAGGAAATAGGAAGGAGAGGAACAAGTTATCAGGCAAAGCTAGAACTAAGACATGGGACAGCCACGCGCTGCTTAACAACGGGATACCTTCTGAGAAATGCATGCTTAGGCGATTTCATCGTCATGCTAACATCACAGAGTGTGCTTACACAAGCCTAGATGGTCTAGCCCACTACACACCTAGGCTGTATGGTACTAATCTTACAGGACCACCATCGTACATGCAGTCCATCCTTGACCAAGATGTCGTTATGCCATGCGTGACTGTATAGGATAAATCATCCAATTGCTACAACAAATCAATGACAAGATAAAAAAAGACAGGAGGGGATAAACATGTTAAAAACACCATGTCTTCATCAGTTAGAGATGTATCCTGAATATTTTACAGGAAAAATGCCACGATGTCTGGCATTTTCTTTATATTCTAGGGAAAAGGAAAAAAAGAGTAGATGAAATAAGGTTGGTAAAATTATTTAAAAACTATGGAAGCTGGAGGAGGGGTACATGGAGTTCATTATATTTTTCTTTCATCTCAGTGTTGGATTTTGAATGAAAATGTTCAGAAACAAAACGCACATGGCCAATCATGACACCGTGCTGTTCTGCCCACAGGTGCCCATTGTCATCCCCATCTTCGTGACTCTCGTGGCTGTGTTTTTGGTGTTGGCCCCAATCGTCACAGAACCCGCATGGGAGTACCTCTACTGTGTGTTATTTATGCTGAGCGGCCTTATATTTTACTTCCTTTTTGTCCACTATAAGTTTGGCTGGGCTCAGAAAATCTCAAGTAAGTATCAACAGAGGGACTGCTCTGCTGTTTGTGGAGCACAGCCAGGCACAGCACTCGGCAGCCTCATCTGTCCTGATTCTGCTGAGACTTTATCACAGCATCTCATGCAGCTAGCCAATTTCACCTTCTCTTTGGGAGGACAGATGACCCACTCCCCCCAGTGTGACGCCTCTGGGGTCCACATGTGGCCTCATCCTCTGTTCCCATCAATTACTGTCAGAAATAGGAAGGCAAAGCACTGTTTTCTTTTTTTTCATCGTAAAATACACATAAAATTTACCATCTGAAACATTTTGAAGCATACAGTCCAGCATTGATAAGCATATTCACAGCACCGTGCATCCGATTTTCAGAGCACCACTTTCTTTTCCCCGATACACAGACATCATCTGGGAGGCTCAGGAGCATCCCAGAGGCACCCAAAACTGACTGAGTTGAGACGAGGCCTGAGTCTTCCAATGCCAAGGCCACAGCTCTTGCTTTCCACTCAGCAATTCTGGTTCCTCATCTATTTTAGGACAATTGCTGCTTAAAAGTTTAGCTACATTAGCCAATTTCACTTTGAAAAAGAAAGCAGTGGTGCCAAAGTGCATCTAAGGGACACTGAAGTACCCCTGTGTCTGCACTATACTCACAATGCGTCACCCTGTACTGCAGATTAACTGCAAGAAACTCTGCTTACAGAAGCCTTCCAGGCTCCTGAACACCCTCACCAGGCCAACAGCTGACCCATGGCCTGTTTCCTGGTCTCCCCCTCCCTGTGCTAGGAGTTCCCAGAAGGCAGGAATTGGACCTGTGCACAATTTGATCCTGGATCCATACAACAGCTGCTTAATATTTATTGAGTAAATGTGATGAAAAGTGTGCCTCTTCCCTTCTCCTTCAGCTTGTCTGAACTGGGAAGTACAGCCATCCCCTCAGGCACTCCTGTGCGGTTTTCATGTGTGTACAGGCAAGTTAGGGAGACGGCAAGGTACGAAAGGGCAAAACCCAACTGGAAGGTGGGAAAGTTGGCCCTGAGGCTTTAGACTGAGCCCGCAGGGACTGAGAATGCCCTTCTCCAGGATGGGCAGCTTCAGGTCCCCTTAGCCTCCAAGGCCCACTGTGGAATCTGTCCCACCACTTACTTGACTGTGGCATTTTAAGCAAGAGAGAAGCTGTTTCATGTTGATGAACAAAGTGAAAACAAAAGCAAAATATGGCTTTATGATTTCCACAAGGACTTGTTTCCTTTCCTGAAACAGCTCCCCCGACCCCCAAGTTCTTTACTCTGATCTAAACCCTGAGCTGAGAGAAGGGTGGCAGGCATCTACCCAGGATGACTTACAACCTCAAGGTACAAAACACGTCTTACTTCTCAGCTTTAGACTATTTAGCCAAGCTGCTCCCCACAAGAACCAAGCAGCAGCTGGAATTAAGGAAAAGAATCAACAATTTGTTTTAAACAAGCAGCAGTCTTAGTGACTTCAGACTACTCAACTCCGTCAGTGGCAGTTATACATACATATCATTGAGTCCTTCATATTTTCCCTACAAACTGTTTGGCGGCAGTAAAATATTTAGCAGGTTCCTAATGCTTTAATGGAAATAACTTATCTCCAGAGAACCACGGTAGCCGCCAGGATGGCTCTGCCTACCTCTGAGCGCCGGGTCCCTGGAGCTCGGGCTCTGACGGGACACACCACCAAGCGTAGCAACAGCGTCACTGCTCACCCACGAGCACGGGGAAGCTCGTTTTTAACTACGGTTTTCTAACGGCACATTCTGATTGGTTTTCACCCCAGAGCCCATCACCATGCACCTTCAGATGCTGATGGAAGTTGTCCCACCAGAGGAAGCTCCGGAGTAACAAGCCCGGTTTCCTGTAGCCAAGACCAAGCTCTGATGAATTTATTTTTGTAAGCAATATTTGCAGCTATTTCTTGCTGATGTTTTTCTTAAAAAATTCAGATGTTAATAATGATGTTATTTTTAGATATCCATAATTCTCTGGGTGGGGTTCTACACAGGAGCAGTGACAGTGTCTGCTAAAGTTAGCTGGTCAAGATGTAACCCAGCAGAAGGCTGATGGCTGGGGAGGGGCTGAATAACAATTACCACCATTGGGGCCGGCCCAGTGGCACAGTGGTAAAGTTCGCGTGTTCCGCTTCAGCAGCCCGGGGTTCGCGGGTTCGGATCCCAAGCTCGGACCTACATACCACTCATCAAGCCATGCTATGGCAGCGTCCCATATAAGGTAGAGGAAAATGGGCATAGATGTTAGCCCAGGGCCAATCTTCCTCAGCAAAAAGAGGAGGATTGGCAACAGATGTTAGCTCAGGGCTAATCTTCCTCACACAAAAAAATTACCACCATTATGCAGCAACTCTTTAACAAGGGGCTCATCACACCTACTTCAATAAATGGTATTCTTTCAACTCAGTGATCAATAAGGTATATATTTTTAAATATAAAATTGGTGAAACTTTCGCTTTGATTGAAATCAATTTTTTAAACACTAAAGTACAAATGTTTTACTACCTACTTGCCCCCTCCTAAAAGCATTGCCAGCCCCATATTTAACCCGGGACGGATGTGGCGGGTCTACCCAGGCCGGATGTCGAGGCCCCCACTACACGGCTAACTGTCCAGAACCATTCACACGCGCCTGTGTGTCCACCAGGGGCCCGTAATTGGTGGTCACCACACAGGCTCCCCAACAGCCTTCACTGGCATTTTGGTCAAACCAGAAAGTGCTGTGACTAAAATTCTTTTCTGCATTTGGCATGCAGGGAAAATACTATCTAAAAAATGTAAAGTACAACATTTCTGTGGAAACACTGAAATTTTATTGACATACTGCAAAAGGCATTCACACCACAACTGACTATGGGAACAATTTTAGAAGCTGAGAGACAAAAGTACTTTTACCTTGCATTTCAGAAATTTTCCCCAAACATGAAATCAGTACATATTATAGCAGAACAAAATAACAGTTAGTAATGTTTACATTTCACAAGTCAGCATCCTGTGCCCTACAATATGTGATTCAGAACTTCAAATAGTAGGAAATTTAAATGTCTGAAAAAAGAAATCAAGACTGAAACGTCTAGCCCTCCTCCCCCAATATTTTCGTTGAGCTGGCTGTGAACGACATATAAGAATGCGCACTATGTCTTCTCTGAGAGCAGAGCCCCACCATGTGTACACGGGAAACACGCATTTGTGCAACTCTACTGCCATTATTATTTGCTATGTTTTACAAAAGAGACTGCATACAACCAAGCAGCAACTGCCGGGGGCCAACAATCCCAGGGAAGGCCGTGCAGCTCAGGAGGTCCGGCCACCCACCCAAGGGCCTCCCCCAGCAGGAGCGAGAGCTGTGTCTACGGAAACCAACACCTGAGGAGGACGTTCGGAGAGCTCTGCAGAGTTAAAACCTTTGCCAGCAAAGCCACCAGAACTTCACACTTCCTGAGAAGCCTGCTCAATTTAACCAAGAAAAAGGCAAGTCACCACTGTACTTCATGTGCCAATTTGACAGCTGCCAGTCAGCTCACGGGAGTCATGGCAGCAGTAAGGACTTGCTGCTGGCAGCTGTCCAGGCTGGATGCCGCGTCCTCCCTCCAGAGAGCACTGGTCTGACTGAGCCCATCACGGAGCCTCTGCACAAAGATACTGACCCAGCAGCATTCTGGGATGCTCCCTGAGGTGACACGAGGCTGTGCAAAGAGCAGAATGTCTTATTTTACAGATGAGGAAACTGAGAGCTCGAGTGTGATCCAAACCCGCTCACAGGACAGCCTGATGACAGAGCTGACCTCTCATTCAAGCAGGGGCTTCTACCTGGGACGTACATGGACTTGAGCATCTGTGCTTTCTGATGTGTAAAGGGAATAAGGATCCTGGGGCAGTCACAATGGTCCTGTTCTATCAGTGTTCTCTTCCACTTCTCGGTAAAGCTGCCAGACTCACACTGAACAAGTGCAGAGGGCTTCAATTCCGCAGTAGCTCACCTTTCTGACTTTTTCAATTAACAGGAAAAGTCAGGTTCTCGGCATTCCCACATTTAAGCGGTAATGACAACGCACGTTCCTCCCAATAACCTTGTGACCCTGGGAGCCACAGCCTCACCCCAGGATGGGGTCATGAATGTTCTTAGGGCCATCACATCCAAGTGTTCGGAGGGTTACATCCAGGCACCCCACTGGTCCTTTTCAGTTTCCACTGAAAAAAACCCTTTGTCCTGTTTGCCTAGGACTCTGCAGGTTTGGGGGTTCTTCAGATGCAGTAGCTTTCCCTCCAGAACTCCCTGGTCTGGCTGGTATTGCTGAGGCAACCCCATTTTTATCCTTGGACTCTCTCTTCATAAAAAGTAAACTTACTCTGAGTAGCTATCTTCAGAATACTACAAGTACTAGCACACAGCCAGTCACGCTGAATCCCACTAACTCACGGTTGAAAGGGTCTGTTAAGCAGTGCTGAGTATAAATTTGCAAGACAGAAACCTCAATTTATATGCACAAGACCAGGTTCTTAGACGTGTACCAAACGTGGGCCTACAAAAAAAAACGAATAACTAACTCCAGATAGTACAATTCATGACCCCAACGCCATGGTCTGCCCTCTGTGGCTCAGCTTCAGAGTGTCGGGCTGGGCTCGTGTGGGGGCAGCGAGCAGGACAGACCGCGTGCGTAAGCCGGGCTCGCGCTGCACCAGCGCTCTCCGCGCCGCTGCTCTGCCCTGCTTCCGCCCTCCTCTGCCAGTCTCATCAGCAGCCCGTTTTTAAATCAACTAAGAATTTCTCAACATTACAAATCCCAGTGCCTACAAGATGACATCAGTAATCATTTATCCTTGAGGTAAGGAAAGGGTCGAATACAACTGCTTGTTTTCCTAACTTTTAGTCACAGCAATATCCATTTCTGTTCAGTCTTCTGGCCGCTCCTCAGGATTCAGTCCACATTCTCATCCACTCTCACTCTCGTCATCTTCTGAAGACTGGTCACTGTTCTCAACCACCTGTGGCACTTTGCAGGGTGGGTTTTTATAATTTACAACTAAAGGAGTTAGAAATTATAAAAAAAAAATATGTTAACTAAAGACTAATTAGCAAATGTTTATCCTCCCATTATTTTGGCCAACGCAGAAAAAGTCCCTTGGGGTCCAGCTCTATCCATTTTACAGCCTATTTTATATTTTCATTATTTGAGGTGAGAAATGAGCAGGCAAAATCTGCCTGCTTGTAAATACATTATTCTCCCAGGAAAAATATCTGTAAAAGTGTTGTAAGAAAATATGTTTATAACCAAGAGTTGATACATCCTCAAACCAGAACATCTAGCACCAAGATCAACCACAAGGAAAGAACTAATTCCTAAGGGCTTTACAGAACAACCCATGTCCACAGAGGCCACCTTCCTACGTCCACCCCACAGCACTCAGGACCTACAGCTCTCGGGGGGCCGGCGCCCCCATCTTACCCCTGGAGAAGGGGCTATCCTCTTCACAGTCTTCCCAGTGATCAAAATCAAAAGCCACATTAGGATTCTGTTCAACACAACGGTTTACATTAGGTGAGAGAACAAAACAGACCCAGGGTTATTATAAACCCAGCACCAGTTCATTTCCACTCACCCGCCGTTTGAGTAAGCGAAACCAGGATTCCCTTCTCTCTTTTGCAAGAGTGATGAGAGGTTCATCGTTTTTAATTGTGCATTTGCAATCGTCCTTTATTATGTTGGCCTGCAGCTCCATATCAGCCAAGTAAAATTTCTCTCCTACCCAGGCACTAGGTTTACAAAAAGAAATAAAGTCAGCCTTTTAAATGTTAGAAATTATTTATAATTTATTTTATTTAAGATATACATAAACCTACCTGAAAACAACTCTATTTCTAAAATATTTGCATTTGTAATCTTTTACATTCCTTATTCTTATCTTTAATATGACCACATCATCTTTCTGGAACCATTTTATTTGTGGGTGGAAGCTAGAAGAAAAGAAAAAGGCTTACACACACTTGTCACTATTTATGCACCAGCTAAGGAAGGAAAACAGACTCCAATCAAGGATGGACGTACCTTTTAAGAGGCTCTGTAGTTTTGTTAATGGAAGCATCGCCAGTGGTTTCAGGTAAAGTTTCTGCACAAAAAGTCAAATTTTCCTATAGGTTATTTATATGTAACTCCATAATGTATGTACATGTATATACTTTTTTGCACTTTATGCACCTTTTAGCTGAGGAACTACACACTAAGAGTATAAATTTCACAGTAACCCAAGTATCCAATTGCAAAGAGTAATTAGAAAAAATTAAAATGCACATTACTTAGTAAAACTAATAAAAACAGGCTTTGACAAATATTACAGTTCAACAATCAGAAAAGTAAAGCTACTCTCTGAAAAGGAACCACATTACAATCAGTGGCCAAAGGATACAAATGTTCAGGCTTCTCTGTGGCTATCTTAATCTGCTAACACCCCGCTAAAGACAAATTCCAGAACGGTAGTAACATACACAAGGAACCAATGCTGAACATAACGTTTTCTAAAACAACACAATTTAAACTTCTCAATCTAAAACATTTGAAGTTTCCATCTCAAGACCTGAGCAAGAATGTTGATAGCAGCTTTAACACCAATAGTCAAAAACTGAAAACCTCAACATCTATCAATAGGGGAACGTATAAATAAATTGTGACATATTCACAGCATACAACACAAGTCAGCAATAAAAAAGTACCACCACTACTTGCAATGATCTAGATGAATTTCACAGACACAATATTGAGTGAAGGAAGCCACCAGAGTGTATACTATGTACTTCTAATTCAGCAAAACTGATGGTGATAGAAGTCAGAATAGTGGTCACTGAGAAGGGTTCCAGTGGAAGGTACATGAAGGAGACCACTGGGGCTCTGGAAATGTTCGATAGCTTGACCTGGTGTGGTTAATGGACATATACATTTGTAAAAATTCTGATGAGCTGTACACTTAAGATCTGTGCACTTTACTGGATGAACATTATATCTCAAATAACAAAAAGGAAAAAAGTTACAAAAAAATCCATTGGAAGCGAATTGTCAAAAACAGGAAGTTAGGTAATATCAGTTTACATCATCTCTACAATTCATCTAAAAGTGGAAAGCCTAAAGATTAGAAAATTTCCAAGCATTAATGATTTTAAGTTAACCATCTTTTAAATAACCGACCATGCTTTTGGTGTTCTGAGTTTGTCTCGGAATCGGCCCCTCTTTCTGAGCCCCTGTCCTCTTGCCGTGCGCTCTGCTGAGAAGCGGGATCTTCTGCTGAAGAAGGCACCCTGGATAGAACAGGCGGAGGTTAACTCCAAGACGAGGAGACAGCAAAACCTGGCTCTCTACAGGACTTCCCAGCTAGAACGGAAGGCAGGCAACAAACGACCGTGACGTGCTTATCACCATGAGTCAGACCTGCACAGAGCTTCTGGCTCCTGTGCAGACGACGGGCAGGGCAGCCCGCTCTGCTCACTGCTGTGCCCTGGGCGTCAGACACAGAGTAGAGTACCGAAACGCATTATCAGAGAAATGTGGTCACCCCTTGACCAAAGTAAGTTTCCTTTAAATCCCTTAACTTGGAGAATAACATACACTGCTACCCACTGCAAAGAAGATAAACGGGCAGAAAGCAAAAGCCATCCCCCCAGGCCCTCTTCCCAGAGACACGCCTCTTACCAGTCTCGGTCTACTTCTAGAAACACTGTTGCACAAAAAAGCAAATACTGCCGTCTGTATCATTCTATCTAAAACTCACACGCAGACACACATTTAAACACATGGGAACATACCAAATTCACCTTTTTGCTCCTTATTTTATTGAACCTAACAATTAGAGATTACTCCAAATCAGCACATTGGGGGCTGCCTTGTTCTTTTAAAAATTTTAAATTGTGTGTGTTTTCTGAGCAGGTAACCACGTTCTTGTGGTTCAATATTTTAAAGTAAATAAAAAGGTCCACAGAGTGAAAAATCTCCCTCTCACTCCTGCTCCCCAGCTGCTCAATCTCCTTCCTCCTGGGTGACAATGTAATTCATTTTTTGTGCATCCTCTTAGAGAGAATTCAAGCCTAAGGAGCAAACTTATACACATACACACACCTGTGGGGTAGAGGGTGTGTACATGTGTCTCCAAGGGGACTTCCGATGGACACGCATGAAGCCTGCTGCGGCACGGCACCCTCAAATGGTGGAGGGCGGTATGTCATATGCTCCAGCTATCCAGCAGGGACCCCTCCTCAGGCCTGGTCCTCCTCAACCCTGTGCAGCACCCGCCCTGGCCACCCACCCTCTCCCTCCACCATGGCTCTGACTTCTGGCACTAGACCCTCATCTGCTGGGCTCTGTTCCTTCCTCCTCACACAGATACCAAGCTTTGACTCTCCTCAAATACCAGCAAACCAGAGCCCTCCCTCACTGCTCTCCCGGGCTCTAGGCTTACACTTTCAATAACCTTAGCATGTCCCAAACCAACTCAGAATCCTCTCCAATGAGCTGGCTGCTCTCTGGGAAACATCCTGTGACTGTCAACCACGCCAACATCCTCCCAGACCGTGGGACTCAGATTTACAGAATCGCACTCCCTGACGTCTGTCAGTCTCTAAGCCCAACGGCTTCCAGGTCTTTCAAGTCCCCAGCATCTGTCCGTGTTCCCGATCTGCTGTAAGAATGGCGCCATTCTCCTCGCTTCTAATCCAGAGTCCTACCACAGCTTCCCAATCCATCTCCTGAAGTGGAATCTCTTCTTCTAGGCAGGCTCCCTCTGTAGAATCTCGCGGTCCTCTGCACTTCTCTCTGCCTTGTGTTTATGACCACAGGTGTGCAACACTCCTGCACAACCACAACACCAAGTGTGCAAAGGGACCAAGCAGAGTGCTTTGCAGAGACCTGGGGCTCAATGGTAGTTGCTGTGTTTTACATAAGTGATGTGTTTTACGTAAGTGATCAATCTTCATTTTGGTTAAGTCTACTAGACTGTAACATCCTTATTTTTAAAAGAATATCTTATAAGTAAGTATGGAAGAATTTTTGTTTCCTGGAAGTGTGCAGAAACCAACATGTATCCTAACCCCACAGGTACCCAATTTTATTAAGATAGAAAACTCTAAAAAACTCAGACTATATTTTAATCTTTGCCATGTTCTTTGAAATTCCCCTGCTTTCACAGCAGTAATTTAGGAATCTTTCAAGTTCACCAATCGTCACATCACTAAATGCACTGGTCAGTTCTCAGTCCTCACTTCACTTGGCCTCTCAACAGCATCCGCACAGCTCATGGCTCCCTCTCCATGAATCACTTTCCTCACTGGCCGTCCTGGACAGCCCTCCTCCCATGCTTCCTTCTACGCTGTAGCTGCTCCTTTTCAGGCTGCTCTCCAATGTCCCCACGGCTCCCCCACCTCTCAACATTAGAGGCCCAGGGCTCAGTCCTTTGACACTCACTCCTTCGGGGCTCTCGTCCAGTATCTCAGCTTCCAACGCCAAGGATCTTCTGACAAGGCTCCCTAAGACAAGACACTCACTACAAATACAGTCAGAAACCAGCTACTTCTCACCACCTCCACAAAACCACACTAGTCCAAGCCGCTGCCATCCTGCCCTGAACTCTTGGCACAGCGTTTGTCCCCCATTCCAGCCTATTCTCAACACAGCAGCCAAGAACCTTTTCATTAAGTCATTCCTTTGCTCAAAACCCTCCCAAGGCTCCACCTCCTCAGAGTGGGAGCCCAATCTTTGCAATGGTCACAGGGTGCAACAAGATCTGACCCCAGGACTGCTCCGACCTCTGCACCTACAGTTCTCCCCTCATTGTTACTCTAGTCACCGTACCTTCCTCCTTGTTCCTGCAACCAAGGAATAACCAAGCCTTTCCTCTGCCTGCAGGAGTCTTCTCCCAGATATTACCTGGGTCATGCCTCACCTCTTGTGTCTTTGCTCATTGTTCACCTTCTCAGCTCCAAAGCCACCCTATCTTCCTTTCTGCTCCATCTCACAGACCACCACCTGGCCCACTATGTATTTTTGTAACTTGTTTGTTTATTGTCTGTCTGTCTCCATTAAAATGTGAGCTGGCCCTTCATCTGTTTTGTCCACTACTGTATCTCCAGTAAACACTCAATAAATATTTACTGAATGAATAAATTTTGAAACTTCAATTTTACCTAATGGCAACTTTAATTAAAAGTATTTATCTGTTAATTGGATCAACCAAAATAAAGTTAAACTGAAGAAATATCCAGCACCTTGCTACCAAAACACATGTAGGGCAAAATGGCAGACTAGGAAGTTCCAAGTTCCTGTTCCCCACAGAAACACCGAAAGAACCACCAGAAGCTATCTAAACCAACTTTGCAGGAGCTCCGGAAACAGTCAAGCGTTTACAGCAACCAAGCAAATGCCCAGTCAAGAACAAGCCGGCTTCAAATTGGAGGAAGGTTTTGTGGGGTTTTCACTCACCTTTGCCCCACCCCCTCGGCTTGGGGTCCTGGTCTGGAGCAGGCAGCAGCCTGATTCCTGATCCCCCCGCAAAGCGGAGGGGGCAGAGCAGACTTTGTGGGCAAATCCCTGTGTCGTCCGTTCTAACCTGTCTGGGGAACAGCTGAGGGACCGCTGCAAGATGCTCGTCTCTGTTTCACAAAACTGGGAACACAGGCAGGAGAGCGTGAGCACTGCTCGGAAAAGGCAACTACAGACCCGCAGACGCCTGGGGCCAGGGATCAGGCGAGGAGACAGACAACAGCCCTGCTAAGGCGCTGGGGTGAGACTCCTGGGAAGTGAGGACATTCGAAAGCAGTACCATTCAGGGGGGATTTAGAAAGCCACACGCATGCCCGGCAAGACGCACGCTCAGAAAAGTCCTATGAAGACCTGAAGCTCACACCTCAGGCTGATTTCTAGGCAAGGACGTAGAGAAAAGGGACCCTTTGTGCACTGCTGGTGGGAATGTAAAATGGTGCTGTGGTCAACAGTCTGGCAGTTCAAAAGGTTAAACAGAATTACCATATGTCCCAGCAATTCCACTTCTGGATATACACCCCAAAGAACCTAAAGCAGGGACTGGAAGAGATATTTGTACACCTGTGTTCACAGCAGCACTGTTCACAATGGCCACATGTCCACTGACAGATTAATGGATAAACAAAATGTGGCATAGCCATACAGTAAAATATTTTCAACCTTAAAAGGACTGAAATTCTGATACATGCTGCAACATGGGTGTACCCTGAAAATATTATGCCATGTGAAATAAGCCAGACACAAAAGGACAAATATTGTATAATTCCATTTATATGAGGTACCCAGAATAGGTAAACTAATAGAGACGGAAAGTAGAATGGAGGTTACCAGGGGCTGGGAGGATGGGAGAAAGGGAGTTACTGTTTAATGGGTACAGAATTTCTGTTTGGGATGATGAAAAAGTTCTGGAAATGGGTAGTGGTGGTGGTTACACAACATTGTGAATGTACTTACTGCCACCGAATTACATACTTAAAAACAGTTATAATGACAGATTTTATGTGTACTTGACCACAATTTGAAAAAACAAAAATGGGAAATTTTATGTATATTTTAACACAATAAAAAAACACATGCAGTTTAAGAAATTACTGTTAATTGTGTTAGACGTAATAACAGCACTCTAATCAAGTTTACAGAAGCCTTATGTCGCTCCACCTCCTCACCAACACTTGGTATTTTCTTTCTCTCTCATTTCTCTCATTTCTTTTTCTCATTTCAGTGGGCATGAAATGGTATGCCTGCATTGTGGTTTTAATCTCCATTTCCCTGATGACTAATGAGTTCAAGCACCTTTTCATATATTAATTATTGGACAATTAGTTCACCGGACATTGTGAAGTGTCAGTTCGAGTGTTCTGCCCAGTTTCTTAACAGGTGTCTGCAGCTTCCTTCCTGACTGCAAGGAGCTCTTGATATGAGTCCTCTGGTGGACACACATGCTGTGTCCATCCTCCCCATGTGGAGGATGCCAGGGTACTTTCTCAGTGGCTTTCGTAGCCCTATCTACTGCTTGTGGAAGGGTAAACTGGCACAGCCATTTTGGAACACTGTTGGGCAGTAGCTCTAATTATGACTCAGCAATTCCATTCCATCAGAAATACATTTGTAAGTACACCAAAACACAGGTAGGAGAATGTTTCAAGTACCACTTGAAGTATCCCAGAACTGGAAGTTTCTCCCATCAACAGGAGAATGGGTAAATAAATTATGGCATATTCATACAACGGAATGTTACGCAGCAATGAGAATGTATGATCTACAGCTACATGCACAATATGGATGAATTTCACAAACAACGCTGGACTAAAGAAGCCAGATACAAAACAGAGACATTGCATGATTCCACCCAAAGTACAAACCAAGGAAGAAGAACCAGCTATGCTCTTCTGTGTCGGGAGAGCAGCGGCCCTTGGAGAGGGAGCAGGAACCGGCTCTGCGTCACGCCCTGCTTCCGAACTGGGGCTGGTTTCTGTGCTCAGAACATCCACCAAACTATACTTATGATGTGTGCATCTTTCTGGATGTGTGCTGTCGATAAAAAGTGTGGGTTGGGGTAGGGATAAAATAAGATTGCCAAAATCTTGGTAATTAGTGAAGCCGAGTGATGGGAACATGGAGACTCATTAAACTATTATACTTTCAAAAAAAATGTCTATTAACATTTCTGAGTTCTATTTCCACAAAACAGCTCTTCCAAAAGGGAGATAAAAATCCACTTACAGGGTCTGGCTTAGGCTTTCTTCACAAGTTGGCATTTTAACTCCTTCGTATAATTTTTTCAGTTGTTCTGTATGTTCTGAATTATCAACTCCCATTCCCGTTGACAAAATTTCAGCTCGAACGTTATAATCAACAACAGAAGTTTTCAAATTTGAAAGTTTTGTAATGTGCACCTTGAATCAAAGAAAAAATACAACTGCAGGAACCACACTTATAACTTGCAGAAGATCACAGACACTCCCCCGTGCCTCCCCATCTCACTGTGCAATGTCTGATGCACTTGGGCACCTGCCACAGTGTGCAAGGGCCTCCCGCTGCAGCATCTGCACCATTTCATAACCGAGGTTACGTGAGAATCTTCCAGAGCCCAGTCCCACAACGAAGAAAGATGACCAGGTCTGGGTGGGGCCAAGACCGAATCCTGGAATAAAACCCCCAGGCGAGACCAATCTGTAATGCTGTAAACACAGACAAAATTTGTAGATCTTTCTGACTTTCACTCGAGTATTTTCACCTCTCTCAACAAAGAGGACCCTAAGGTTCAGAGTCTTCAGGTGCCCAGAAAGGGCCTACGCCAAGGCCCTAAATGCTGTGTTCTAGACAGTTCCTTCCACTTTTCTTTTCTGCAGCCAAAACGTTCTCATCCATTTCAATTCACACAAAATCAAGTAAAACATAGAAATCTACAACAGTCTGATTCCTGTGGACAGGAGGCACGGACCCAGGCCTACATGTCCCTTCCATGGCAGGGGAGGGTGGGCCAGGCTGGCACCGGCTGGGGCACCTTCCTAAGTGAACACTGGGAATGTGCTCCCATCTGGAATTGGCGGAAGAGCCTGTCTCCACTCAAACTGTGGACGGGGCTGGTCTGGGTGCAGCAAGTGGCAAGCGCGGGGTCTGTCTCCCCTCTGGCCAGCCATGGACACTGCCACACACTTTGGAGCTGCGAAAGCACACTTGCCAGGTGGGTTCCCTTCTTTTGCTTCATTCTTTTAGCTAAAGTTTCAAAAATTCCTGCTGAACAAAGTTTCCATTTTTTCTCCGATAAAGAAGAACCATAGTATTAACTATTACAACATCAGCTAAGACCCCAATCTCTTCATTTACCTGCACTGGTGATCTCTCCCTTCTCTCCTAAAAATCATTCTCTCCTCTTACTCTTAAATCTTATACCCAAACTCCTCTTTTTAAGTGTTAAGGCTTTTCCAATCTCATAAAAATAATTTTCAGCAAAACAGTTATGAACTGAATTCCTTTAAATCTTATAAATAATCTTAAGAATTAAGATTTAAGTCTAACAGAGCAAAATTTTGAATTGAAAAGTAGTTCTTGGGGTGCCAGTAAAGAGGGGATGGCGCCAGTCTCAGACGGGATGCACTGAGCCCTTAATTCCACGTCCTGGTCTCACACTCAGCCCGCCCACTCCCATGTCAGCTCCACAGGGGAGGAGTCTGTTCACAGATGGAACCCTGTGCCCTGTACAGGTCCCAGCACACAGTAGGTGCTCAATAAATATTTGGTGAATGAACAAGGTAGAAACCATGACAGGATAAAACCTATCTTTGGAAGCCCAAGGCCTGGGATCCTCCATGTTACCGATCATGTGCTGGGACTTTACCATCCTTTACAACTAGACAAATGGGCCGCGGTGCTGCTGCAGGGCAGTCACTGGCCCAGAGCGCCCCAACAGGTGGACCGTGAGATCAACTCAACAGCGCACAACCAACACGTGAAAAAGTGGAAAGAGTAAAATGTAAATACTAGGGACTATCACAGTAGCAAGGACAGTTTCATGAAGCTTCTGTTGTGGTTGTACGTGTGAGATTACACACACATGCCTGTGAGCACTGGGTTACGATGTAAAAGATTCCCTTGGTCAAAAAAACCCACAACCAACTTCATGACCCACGTAACATGAAAAAAACTCTCCCTGACGCAGAGCCCCAAACAAGCCACCATGACGTGAGGCAGTTATTCAAGCAACAGGTTGGAATAATTTGGATAATTTTAGGGGCCCATTCAAACACCGATTTCTTTTTAAGAAAACTACAGACTTACCATTGGATCGATCCAAACTGTATTTCCCAAAGCCATCATCACTTTTGCATCATGCAGTTTTCCAATAATTTTATGATGAATATACCTAGTAACCTGAAAAAAACACTTAAGTAACTTATCTGAAGCTGTAAGAAAATACCTTATTCGGTATATGCTGTAGAGTTCTGCAAAAAACTTTTCCACGCATTTCATTTGAGCCTCACAACCACGCCATGAGGTAGGTCATGGAGGCCATCGTGACCATGGTCGACGAGGGTAACTAACAGTGGAGTTTAGTAAGGACGGAGGCACGAGGCGAGTTCCAAGAACAGGTCCGTGCCTCTGGACTCCTAACACTGTGTGTTCCCCGCTGTCGATACGTGTCCCCCAACTCCTCTGTTAACTGTCAACCTGTCTTTAAAGTATGGATGTTTATTTCTTTGGAAGCTCAATGGGAGTGAGGTGAACGTGTTCCTGCTGTTCCAGAGGAGGAAGTCACAGCGATGGAAGCAACCAAGGGAGCTGCTCTGTGCCAGTGACACGGGCACCGAGGGGCCCTGGTACTCTTCCCGGTACCCTCTCCAGAGCGCACGGCTCTTTCCCTCTCAAGTAGGACCACAACAGCTGGACCTGTCCAAGCACTCTTTCAGGCATGTTTTAACTCCAAGACAGCAGAAGAGGAGGGAGCTGGCTCATCACAATTAGATTATTTCCCTCTCCCTTGAAATTTGTAAATTAATTTGGAAGAATACACACAGGAGAACTTTCCTCCACTTCTACAGAAGGCTCCTCTTCAATAAATACTTGTGGTCAATCATCTTGACAGACCAAATATTTCTGGAGGGCGAGGACCATGACCTTTTGGCTAACAGCTGCATTCCCAGAACCCACATGGCACCAGCACACAAGCGGACACTCGGTAAACGCTCTGCACGAAGGAAAAGGATTACTATTTAATAAAGGCTATTTTTACTAAACTCCCAACAGTAAGGCTTTTGTATTCATCCTGTATTATGGAAACAGTCACCTGTATATTTCCTGAGTAATGTTTAACCTTGTTTATAACCAAACTGATTTTACTTTGCCCACTACAATGGCTTATTTCATATCCTATTACCCAGATTACACAAAATTTAACGTTCCTTTGAAGGATCAGGAGTGTCGTGATGAGCAGGACAGCCTGTCTGGCCTCTACCCTGGCCTCTCCACCTGACCTCGGACAGCCACGTAAGCCCACACGGGCCCACTCTTCTGTGCTCCATGTCTTGGCATAGGTATTTTCTTCACTCAGTGCCTTACCCAGTCTACAAGGGTACCTCGGAGATGCTGCAGGTTTGGTTCCAGACCAGTGCAAAAAAGCGAGTATCTCAATAAAGCAAGTCACACGAATTTTCTTGCTTTCCCACTACATATAAAAGTTATGTTTACACTCTAGTCTAGTAAGTGTGCAATAGCATTATGTCTTAAAAAACAATGTATACACCTTAATTAAAAAATACTTTATTGCTAAAAAACACTAACCATCATCTGAGCCTTCAGCAAGTTTGGAATCTTTTTGCTGGTGGAGGGTCTTGCCTCGACGTTGGTGGCTGCTGACTGATCAGGGTGGGAGTTGATGAGGGCTGGGGTGGCTGTGGCAATTTCTTAAAATAAGACAATAGTGAAGTCTGTCATATTGATTGACTCTTCCTTTCACGAACAGTTTCTCTGTAGCATGTGATGCTGTTTGACAGCCTTTTACCTACAGTAGAACTTCTTTCAAAATTGGGCCGGCCCTGTGGCTTAGCGGTTAAGTGCGTGCACTCCACTACTGGTGGCCCGGGTTCGGATCCCGGGTGCACACCGACGCACCACTTCTCTGGCCATGCTGAGGCCGCGTCCCACATACAGCAACTAGAAGGATGTGCAACTATGACATACAACTATCAACTGTGGCTTTGGGGGGAAAAAATAAATAAATAAAATCTTAAAAAACAAAACAAAACTGGAGTCAGTCCTCTCAAACCCTGCTGCTGCTTTATCAACTCAGCTTATGTAATATGCTAAATCCTTTGTTGTCATTTCAGTAATCTTCACAGCATCTTCACCAGGAGGAGACTGCATCTCAAGAAACCACTTTCTTTGCTCATCTATAAGAAGCAACTCCTCCTTATCAGTTAAAAGTTTCATCATGAGATTGCAGCAATTCAGTCACAACTTCAGGCTCCACTTCTAATTCTAATTCTCTTGCTGTTTCCACCACATTTGCATTTACTTCCTCCACTGAAATCGTGAACCCCTCAAAGTCACCCAACGAGAGTTGGAATCAACTTCTTCCAAACTCCTATTAGTGTTGATATTTTGACCTCGTCCCATGAATCACTAATGTTCTTAATGGCATCTAGAATGGGGAATCCTTTCCAGAAGGTTTTCTTTTTTCTTTCTTTTTTTTCTTGTGAGGAAAATCAGCCCTGAGCTAACATCTGTGCTAATCCTTCTCTTTTTGCTGAGGACTCAAGACCGGCTCTGAGCTAACATCTATTGCCAATCCTCCTCCTCCTTTTTTTTTTTCCCCCAAAAGCCCCAGTAGATAGTTGTATGTCATAGTTGCACATCCTTCTAGTTGCTGTATGTGGGACATGGCCTCAGCACGGCCGGAGAAGCGGTGCGTCGGTGTGCGCCCGGGATCCGAACCCGGGCCACCAGTAGCGGAGCGCGTGCACTTAACCGCTAAGCCACGGGGCCTGCCCCAGAAGGTTTTCAATTGACTTCTCCCAGATCCATGGGAAGAATCACCATAGGGCAGCTATAGCTTTACGGAATGTATTTCTTAAATAATAAGACGTGAAAGTCGAAATTACTCCTTGATCCATGGGCTGCAGAACGCATGTTGTGTTAACAGGCATGAAAACAATATTAATCTCACTGTTCATCTCCATCAGAGCTCTTGGGTAACCAGGTGCGTTGTCAATGAGCAGTAATATTTTGAAAGGATCTTTCTTTCTGAGCAGTTGGTCTCAGCAGCGGGCTTAAAATATTCAGTAAACCATGTTGTAAACAGATGTGCTATCATCCAAGCTTTGTTGCTCCATTTCTAGAGCACAGGGAGAGTAGATTTAGCATAATTCTTAAGGGCCCTAGGATTTTTGGAATGGTAAATGAGTAGTGGCTTCAACAAAGTCACCAGCTAAATGAGCTTCTAACAAGAGAGTCAGCCTGTCCTCTGAAGGCTTGAACCAGGCATTGACTTCTCCTCTCTAGCTATGAAAGTCCTAGATGGCATCTTCTTCCAGTATATGGCTGTTTCACCTACATTACAAATCTATAGTTTGGTGTAGACACCTTCATTAATTATCTCAGCTAGATCTTCTAAGTGACTTGCTGTGGTTTCTGTATCAGCACTTGCTGCTTCACCTGCACTTTTATGTTATGGAGACAGCTTCTTTCCTTAAACCTCATGAACCAACCTCTGCTGGCTTCACACTTTTCTTCTGCAGCTTCTGCACCCCTCTCAGCCTTCACAGAATTGAAGAGAGTGAGGGCCTTGCTCTGGATTAGGCTCTGGCTTAAGGGGATGTTGTGGCTGGTTTGATCTTCTATCCAGACCACTAAAACTTTCTCGGTTTCAGCAGTAAGGCTGTTTCACTTTCTCATCATTTGTGCGCTCGCTGGAGTAGCACTTAGAGGCCTAGCTTTTGATATGCCTTCCTCACCAGGCTTAATCATTTCTAGCTTTCGACATAAAGTGAGAGACATTCAACTCTTCCTTTCACCTGAACACTAAGAGACCATTGTAGGGTTATCAAATGGCCTAACTTCAATATCGGTGTCTCTCAGGGAATAGGGAGGCCCGAGGGGAGGGAGAGAGACAGGGGTATGGCCAGTTGGCGGAACAGTGAGAACACACACAACATCTATCAATTAAGTTTGCCATCTTATGGGCGTGGTTCATGGTGCCCCAAAACAATTACAATAGTAACATCAAAGATCACTCATCACATATCACCATAACAAATATGATAATAACGAAAAAGTTAAAAATATTCCGAGAATTACCAAAATGTGACACAGAGGCATGAAATGAGCAAATGCTGCTGGAAAAATGGCGTCATAGATTTGCTCAATGTAGGGTTGCCACAAATCTTCAATTTGTAAAACAACAAAACATCTGCGGGGCCGGCTCCGTGGCTTGGCGGTTAAGTGCGCGCGCTCTGATGCTGGCGGCCCGGGTTAGGATCCCGGGCGCGCCCCGAGGCACCACTTCTCCGTCCAGCGCGAGGCCGAGTCCCACGTACAGCAACTAGAAGGATGTGAACCTATGACATACAACTATCTACTGGGGCTTTGGGGGGAAAAAAAATGAATAAATAAAATCTTAAAAAAAAAAAACAAAAAAACAAAAAAAACAAACATCTGCGAAGGGCAATAAAGCCAAGTGTAGTAAGACGAGGTACGTCTGTACTCGACGACATCCTGGCTACCATCCCGAAGGGCCAGAGGAAGTGTCCCTTCCTTTGGAAGCTTTTCTGGACTCTCTCTCTTTCCTGCCCATCCTTCCCACTCCAGTGGAATGACCGGCCTCTGCAGAGTGTCCATCACTGACGCCCCCTTTGACGGGAGGATCCACTTGTGCAGGCGCTTACCCTGTTTCTCCTCCGGAAGCTGACAGCCAATTTACTTTATCATGACGCGTATTTTACACCAGTCCTGAGTCTGTGGGCGCTAATGACAATGACGGCAAGCCGCACCTGGCAGGGGGGCCCTGCGCCTCTCTGACGGCTCCCTGTGGGGTCTCTGCATGCACCGTAAGTGCATTCCTGCACTAGCAGGGACCCAAGCAGACTGCACTTTAACTGCCCAGCGACATGGACCATTTACCCAAACTCAATACTCTAAATTCAAATAAACCTCAATTCTGCGTATATTCTGGGTTAAATATATTCTAAAAGTCAACAAAATATAAGAAGCCAAAATAACTCACCTTTGGATTCCATTCAATTTCGTTGTCAGCGGGTTTCACTCTACAAACAATAAACTCCACAGCCTGGGGGGGCATCCTGTGGAAACGTTCTGGGAGACGCAGCAGCTGGCCCCTCGGGACGAGCCCAGTCCTGCCTTCATCTATAAACTTCACAAGGACTTTGTCTGGGGCCCAGGTGTCTTCTTTTTGGCTCATCTCCAGCACTTGAACCCTGGAGAAAGTAGTGGCATCAGTTTAACACAGAGATTCTGAAGTGGAAATAATCTTTGCCTCAACTTACCCATTAAATGCAAAACATATCAAAAGACCCTTCAACTGCATGGTTTTACTCCATACTAGAAAACAATAAGAGCAGCCGCCAAGAGCACTTAGCAATGGATCACTGAATTAAAAAGTATGGCTAAGTAGAAAAACATGTAGTACTTTTGAATAGGGTACATCCCCTTATCTGACAACACAACAAAATTAACACAGCAACTTAAACTTGCACAGGTTCCCAACCTAGGCTGCCACCACACGCAGTCAGGGCGGCATTGGAGGGAAGGGGGTGTGAGCAGGCACGTGAGGGAGACTGCCGGGGCTGCCTCTACACAGCCACACAACCTCACCAGGCTCAGTTTTCTTAACTGGAAAATGGGAACAAGACCCATTTTATAAGAATTCTGTAGGAATGAAGTGAGTGAAAGATATACGTGTATGTGGCACACAGAGATAGCTCAATAAATGTCCGTACAGAAACGTTACCCCGTCATGCACGCTCTGTGCTCAGGAACCGGGCTCAGCCGAGTTTCACGTGCAGAACTGTGCCCGGCGTGTGGGGGACACGACACCGCCACCACCCTCCCGGGAGGAGCCAGGCTCAGTGAGAGCAACTGGGCAAATGGACAGAGGTGAAGAGAGGGGCTCAATACCACTTCAGGCTCCCTCACGCTTCACAACTTTTAGAGATGAAATAGACGATTTTACCTGTGAAAAAGTGTTTTTTCTGCTAATCCATATAATCCAAATTTCTCCACCTTTTCAACAGCTGTTTTATTACTGGAATCCTCAAAATACTCATTTATTTCAGCATTAAGAGCTGCATAAAGATCCACATGTTTATCAACGATACGGCCAAAGTAATTTGTTGCATTTGAAATATAAAAGGGTATTATCTGAAACACAAAGCAAACACGGCCAGAGAACAAACTCAGTCGAAACCAAAGATGCATCTGCAGAAATCAGCACCTGACCTATGAGCCCACAGCACAAAAATGGGACTTATTTAAAAATAAACTAGAAACTGGCCAAAAACCAAACCAAAACAAAACAAAAACCTACCATACCCACAAATAATTATACTTTCACTTTAAATCTAATGGAAGGGTTTTTTTTTTTTTGGTAAGTATTATTATTTTAAAACTTCATTGTTAATTGTAAGAGCTCCTTTGTTTAATTTTTTTTTTTTTTTTTGCTGAGGAAGATCCACCACGTGCTTACATCTGTGCCCATCTTCCTCTATTTTGTATGTGGGCGCCACCACAGTATGGCCACCAAGTGGTGTAGGTCCATGGCCAGGATCTGAATCCACAAACCCAGGCTGCCAAAGCAGACTGCGCTGAACTTAACCACTATACCACAGGGCCGGCCCCCTTTGTTTACTTTTTTAACTGCATTTTATAAAAATCTCTCTTAAAGTAACAACTCTGTCCCTTGAGCCCTTTCTGATCTTCGTTTGTGAAACAAGAAGTATTTTATGAAGAGCCTACTGTGCAGAAGGCCGTAGGGACATAGAGACAAAGCCATGGCCCAGAGGCCCCTTGGCAACCCACGAGTGGACAGACACGCCACAGCTGGTGTGTGGCCAAGAAGACAGCTCTCCATAGGTGAGCGCAGGCAGGGCTACTGGTGTGCGATGGGGGATGGCGGCAGGCACACGCGCTAGCAAGAGTTTGGAGAAGGCATTCCAGACAGAGGAAGCAAACCATCTGCATAGGGCAGGGAGCCCTGGCTATCCAGAGCAGATGCCAGGAGTGAGAGGTACCCACTTGGTGGGATGGTGGAGAGGGCGGTGCTGACTGAGAGGCAGAGCAGATGGGTAAGGTCACCCCTTGTGATCAAAAGGGGGTCAGATCTCACAGGGCTGACTGTGGGACTGGCCCTTCTCTGTGTCCCCCTTGAACTTTACTGCCTGCCTCTCTCCCACTCTCATTGCCAATGAGCCTCGTCCTGTTCCACAAACACTCTGTTTTAACTCCTACCTCAGGGCCTTTGCACTTGCTGGTTCCTCTGCCTGGAATATTGTTTCCCATGGCTGGATCCTTCTTATCATTTGGGACTCTGTGCAGTTGACCCCTCCTCGGAGAGTCCCTCCCTGCCCATAATTTCCAAAGGTCCCTGCCCACCCGGCACCCTTACACCAGCATACCCTCTGGTACTTCACTAGAGGCATTTCATCCTCTTCCTAGATAGTCACCATTAGAAGCATCTCTTTTACTCCCCTGCCCACTGCTGACCATCCCCACTGGACTGTCAGCCAAAAGAGGACAGGTGTCGCCTCTGTCACAGTTCCTGAGCCAGCCACTCTCCAGCACCGTAGAGAAAGCTGCCTTAACAAACCCTCAGTGCTTTCTCAAGCCCGCCCCCATCTCAGGCAGGGAGTGCAGTGTCCTTCCTGCCCAGCACATGGTCCTCTCCCAGAGGAGTTCTCTCCCCCATGGTTTAGAGGCCCCAACAATCTGGCAATCCAGACATTAGCCCGCTCAGTGATGGCAGTCAATGAACATGAGGGGGTACAGAGAATGAGAAAAACAGTACAGCATTACGAGAGATGAGCAAGACATAATATATACATCAATAAGCAAACACATCTTTAAAAAGATGCACAAAGAAAAACAACAGAGAAAATACACTAAAATGCTATCGGTAATTGTTTTAGGATGATAGGAATAAGGAGGAGAGTTTCTTTTTTCCTCCATATTTCCCAAGTTCCAAGCCTCTGTGTTCAGCCTAAGGCGCCTCAGCACACAGGGGTGAACAAAAGCCAGGCCCAAGCTGTGTCATCTGTGGCAGTGTCCTCTGCATGGCATTAGCATATCTAAAGACATATTAAGTTGGCAGAAGGGAGGTAGCAAAAAGAAGCCTGTGGACTGGACTCCTTTGACGGGAGGAGGAGGGCATAAGACCTCCAGACAGGGTGGCAGCTCGTCCTGGTTTGTCTGTGGTTTTCCTAGTTGCAGCACTGAACGTTACATGTGCCAGGAAACCCCTCAGTCCTGGGCACCCCAGGGAAGGTCCCTTCTAGCCACCTACCCCTGCATGTGCATGTTTTGATTCCACTCTCCCTAGGACCCCCGCATGTAACTAATTCAGTTTGTTATGCTTGCAGGATACAAGGTAAGGCTACAAAAATCAACTGAATTTCTAAAACAATTAGAAAATGAAGTTTAAAGAAAAGTAACATTAACAGTAGCATCCAAAACCATGAAATAGTAGAGATAAATTTAACACAATAAGTACAAGATCTGTCTACTGAAAATTGTAACACATTGCTTAGAGAAATTAAAGATGACCAAGACAAATGGAATGGTATACCCCATTAATGGACTAGAAGACTCGGTATGGTTAAGACGTCAATTCTTCCCATATTAACCTAGAGACTCAATGCAATGCCAATCAAAATCCCAGCAGGCTTCTAAGTAGAAATTGGCAAGCTGATTTTAAAATTGTATATAGATCTGCAAAGGAAAAGTCAAAAGGGTATTGAAGAAGATGGGTAAAGTTGGAGGACTTACCTACCAGTTTTCAAGACTACAAAGCTACAGTAATCAAGCCAGTGTGGTAGTGTATACAAATAGACAAACCAATGAATAAAATAGAGAATTCAGAATTCACAGATATAGTCTCAATTTATATCAAAGGTGCCAATGCAATTTAGGGGGAAAAGAAGGTCTTTATAATAAATGATGCTGCAGCAACTGATGATCCATAAGGAAAAAACTCGTCCCCTATCCACACCACACACAAAAATTAATTTGAGATGGATCACAGACCTAAATATAAAACTGTAAGGCTTCTAGAATAAAAACACAGGGAAAAATTTTTGTGACTTTAGGGTAGACAAAGATTTTTTTATGGAATGAAAAGCACAACACATAAAATAAATAAGTGATAAACTAGACTTCATCAAAATTAAAAACTTTTGCTTTTCAACTGGGAAAAAATATTTGCAATATATCTGACAAAGGATATCCAGAATATATAAAGAACTCTTAAAACTCAACAAGAAGAAAACCCAAATAAAAAACGGGCAAAAATTCTGAACAGAGTTCATAAAAGAAGAGATACAAATGGCCAATAAGCAGGGAAAAGATGTTCAAGATTCTTTATCACGACGGAAATGCAAATAAGCTATTGGTGCAAATACAACACAGTGGCAAAAATTAAAGACTGAGAATACCAAGTATTGATGAGAAAGTGGACCGACCGGAATTCTCACATGCAGTGCTGTTGAGAATGTAACATGGTACAACTACTTTAGAAAACTGTTTGACAGTTTCTTATAAACACACTCTTATCACACAGCCCAGCAATTCCACTCTTAGGTCTCACTCAAGAGAAATAAAAATGTATGTCCAAAAAAGACTTCTGGCACAAATATTCATAGCAGCCAGAAACTAGAGACCCAGATGTCCATCAATTTGTGAACATATTACGGTACATCCATATAATGGAGTCCTACTCAGCAATTAAAAAGAACAACACAGATGAATCTCAAAAGCATAATGCGAGTAACAGAAATCAGACTCAAAGACTACATACTGTATGATTCTATTAATACAAAATTCTAGTAAAGATAAAACTATAGTGACAGAAAGCAGATCAGTAATTACCAGGGGAGGGAGAAGTGGGGCAAAGGGACAGAAGAGACCTTTTTGGGGTAATGGAAATGTTTGTATCTTGATTGTGGTAGTAGTTACATGACTGTACATATTTATCAAAACTCAAAAAACTATACACTTAAAAATAGTGATTTTTATTATATGTAAATTATACCTCAATACAGCAAATAAAACAGAAGAGGCTTGGTTAGAGGGGTTCTGGGAAGGTGGCAGTGGGGAAGTGTCATATTTTTTGACTCTCTCTGAATCCCCACATAAAGGCAGACAGAGCAATGAGATAGCAAAACCAAAACCAGGGACAGAATTTGCAATAAAAGTAATTGACAAAATATTCCCAGGGACTCCAAAATAAAAGCAGATGAGGAAGATAACACAGGAGAAAATCTAGGTGCCCTTGGGTTTGGCAATGACTTTTTGGATACAACACCAAAACCATAATCCATGAAAGAAAAAATTAGAAAGTGGACTTTATTAAAATTAAAAACGTCTACTCTGCAAATGCCATTGTAAAGAGAATGAAAAGAACTCCTAAAACTCAACAATAAAATAACAAACCACCCGATGAATAAATGGGCAAAAACCATGAACAGACACCTCACCAAAGAAGACATATGGGTGACAAATAAGCACATGAAAAGACGGTCAACATCATATGTCATCAGGGAACTGCGAATTAAAACAATGAGATGCCGCTACATACCTATTAGAATGGCTAATATCCAAAACACTGACAACACCAAATGCTGGCAAGGACATGGGTCAACAGCAACTCTCATTCCTTGCTGGTGGGAATGCAAAATGGTACAGCCACTTTGGAAGACAGCTGGCGATTTCTAACAAAGCAAACATAGTCTTACTTACTAATCCAGCATCACGCTCTTTGGTATTTACCCAAATGAGCTGAAAACTTCTGTCCACATAAAAACTTTAACATGAAAACTTATAGCAGCTTTATTCGTAAGTGCCAAAACTTGGAAGCAACCAGAAGGTCCTCCAATAGATGAACGGATAAACAACCTGTGGTATATTCAGCAATAAAAAGAAACAAGCTATTAAGCCACACAAAGACATGGAGGAACCTTAAATGCATATTGCTAAATGAAAGACGCCAGTCTGAAAAGCCTACATACTGTATGATTCCAACTACAGGATATTTTGGAAAAGGCAAAACTATAGAGACAATAAAAAGACTGGTGATTGTGAGGGGAAGAGGGCAAGGGATGAACAGACGGAGCACAGGGGATCTTTAGGGCAGTGAAACTATTCCATATGATACTTTAATGGTAGATATGTGTCATTATAAACCTACAGAACGTACAACACCAAGAGTGAACCATGATGTAAACTGTGCACTTCAGTTAATAACAACACATCAACACTGCCTCATCAATTGTCCCATATGTAGCACACTAACGTGAGACATTAATGATAGGGGGAACTAGGGGAGGGGGTTTATGGGAAATCTCTGCATTTTCTGCTCAATTTTTCTACAAACTTAAAACTGCTCTGAAAAATAAAATATATTAATTTAAACAAAACAGAAAAGCAGATGAGCCAAACTCACCCACATCACAAGACCTGCATGGTTTCACTGTCTGTGTAGGAAGAAGCAGAGGGAGGCAAGAGTGTGTGTGATGGACCTAAGAACAAGAAAACCCCACAAGAGACAGCAGGTCTTCACTGAGAACATGGCGGGCCGGTGTGACTGGGAGCAGCTGAAACTGGGAGGGCTTTCACCTAAGGCTGGGGCCCTGCGAAATCTCGAAACTGTCCATCCAGGGACAACAGGGATGAAGGAAGAGAAGGGCCAGATACGAGTGGGGGAAGAGAACAGAACCAGGAAATCTCAAAAATCTCAGAAACGTTTTTCCATATCTTTTGTAAAAAGACACAAAAACAACAGAAATGAGAACTCTATGAAATTAGAAAAGTTATCCTGACCCACAACTCCTAAAATTTAAGGAAAATGAATTTTATCTAAAAATGAGCAATAGCAAAGTATCAAGGTCAAATCTCATATTGTCATAATAATAAAAAAGAGAATAAGGAGCAGAATAACAGTCCCTACAGACAATGAGAGCCACTAGAAAGATGTATCCATAAAGCAGATCAAACTACAACCTTCAATTTCAAGATAAGCAGCCTTTTAGCTTGTTAAGAAAATGACATACGATATAAAAAAACAACATATCAGAATTAGAAAAACTTAAAAATGAGGCATCAGAACTCAAGAAAGAATTAGAAATTAAAGAAAAAAAAATCATTTCAGTAATGAAAACTATAGCAGGTGAAATGGTGATACCGGCTCAACACAAGGTGGGCGTAAGGGAAGCCATCTTATAGAAGAAAGCCATGTTGGAACTATGAATAACCCCGACTCACCAGCCCCTCTGAATCTTTGCTTTAGTTTGCCTAAACAAGAAAGGGTCTGTCTCTGGGGGATTTGCAGGCTCTGCAGATTTTATGGCCCCTTCCAGCTGCAATAAGATGATAACTTTGTTCTTTCCAGTTCCCTAGGAATGTGGTGGCCTCTGGACAGAGATGCTATGCTGATATCCACGACAACTGAAAGACCTGACGTGGCAACTCCCAGTCTGGTGTTGCAGACTAACCCTCTCCCTTTCCTAATCCCTTGCCCATAATTCACTGGCCTATATAATGGCTTCAAGATTCTGTATCCCCCTTAAAATGGTTCTTTCGGACATTAGTCAGCCACCTTCCCCCTTGCTAGCAAGTTGTAATAAAAAGTCCTTTCTCTCCTGCCTCCTTGCCTCTGGACTATTGCAGTGGGCAGACGACCCCACCTTGGGCGGTAAAAATGGTAGCCTCCCAAAAAGTATGTCCATGTGCTAACTCCCAGAACCTGTGACAGTGACCTTATTTGTAAAAAAGGTCTTTGTCGATGTCATTAAGTATCTCCAGACAAGGAGACTGTTCTGGATTATGCGGGTGGGCCCTACATCCAGTGACAAGTGTCCTTTACAAGAGACACGGAAGAGGAGAAGGCTGAGTGAGGGTGGAGGCAGAGACTGAAGTGATGCAGCTACAAGCTAAGGCACACCTAGGAATGCCTGGAGCCAAGAGAAGCCGGATGAGGCAAGGGCAGGACAGTCCTCCAGAGTCTTGGGTTGGAGCGCAGCCCCGCCGACACCTTGATTTTGGACTTCTGGCTTCCAGAGCTGTGAGAGGATAAACTTGTGTTGTTTTAAGTCACTCAGTTGTGGTGCCGGTCACAGCAGCACTAGGAAACGAGTGTAGCTCAGCCACCCAAGAGGGAGCACAAGCAGGAAGGACACAACAGACAAGCCTCAAGGCAACGCGACGGCGGACAGGAGAACAACCAAACGCAAAAAGAAAGCAATAAAAAGGATTCAAAAGAAAGAGACAAACTCTTAACTCAGCAATTCTATCTGCATCTCAGAATTTTCCTTAAAGGAATAATCATGGATGTTCTGAAAAGATTCATATAATCATTGCATTATTTTTAACAGCCCTCAAACAGACACAACTTACTTTCTGAAAATATAACTCAAAAATCCCTAAATTGTTGAAGGGGTTCATCCATTTTCCCAATTTGATCTTGGTTTTCTAAATAAACTGGGCCCTGAAACAAGGCACCTTATAAGGACCCATGCCTACTGTCAGATTAATGGTGCTGCATTAACGCTGTCACAATTACACTCTACGAAGAGTCTGCTGCTTAAAAAATGAAGTATCTTCATTAAACTGACCATTAATCAGTCGACAAAAGGATCTTTAACAGAACTTACTTTAATATATCCAAACATTGGGGCTTGGTTGGACAATTTTCTTGGCATGTCTGTTTCTGGATTAATATGGTGTCGATCAGGACAGAGCCTTTTGTCTCTGAAAAAAAGTAACTGGATTTTAAAACCAGAAAAAACAATAACTTTTAACATATATTTTAAAGTATTCTTTAGGAAAATTAATCTATAATTAAAATCAGAAAACTTTTATTCCAGTTTAAAAGTAACCCATATTAAATACTTTAGATGACACTAACAATAGGTAAATAAGTGGAAAGAGATCCTAAAATTTAATTAACACTGAATAAACTTAAAGGAAAGAGTTACTTATTTCTCTAGACATTCTTAAATGCAATATGTAAATGAACAAAACGTACTTCCAAAATAAAGACTCTGAACCAGAAATGCATCCCCGTAACCCACCCACAACAAAGGCCAATTAACCTCTAAACCAGAAGCCACTCCTTAACCCAAACTGAGAACTAGCTGAAGCTTCAGTTTCGAAAGTCAATATTCTATTTAAAGGCATAATGGAAATTGCTGCTAATAATCTATTTAATGTAGCATAATTTTACAAAGTTAATGTCAACAGTGATCTTAAAATTAAATTCAATCCAGTAGATACATATCAGACACCTCCTACCCAGTCCCAGCCACTATCTATCAAGTATTGGCATCATGTCTGCATCAGAGAGAGGCCCCTGCGACTGTTAAGATGTCCATGCTCTCCACGTTGATTTACAGAACGAATGCAGTTGTATCAAAATTTCATCAGGATTTCTGAAGAAATTGACGAGCCTATTCTAAAACGTATACGGAGATGCAAGGGACTTAAAACAACCTTGAAGAAGAGCTAAGGTGGAGGACTTACATACCAAATTCCAAGACTCATAAGAATATAAGCTACAGTACTTGCGAAAGTGTAGCACTGGTGTAAGGACGGACGTACAGACCAATGTAACAGAGCAAGTCCACAAACGGACCACACAGACTATCATCAGGTTTACATCAAAGAAACCAATTCGGTGAGAACACAATGAGGTTTTAGATATATGATGCTGGAGCAAGTGCTTATCCATATGGGAAAAAGGATATCTCATACCATATATAAAAATTAATTCAATATGGATTATATGCCTAAATGTGAAAGCTGAAACTATAAAGCTTTTATTTTTTTTTATTTTATTGTTTTTTGTGAGGAAGGTCAGCCCTGAGCTAACATCCATGCTAATCCTCCTCTTTTTATTGCTGAGGAAGACCGGCTCTGAGCTAACATCTATTGCCAATCTTCCTCCTTTTTTCCCCCAAAGCCCCAGTAGATAGTTGTATGTCATGGTTGCACATCCTTCTAGTTGCTGTATGTGGGACGTGGCCTCAGCATGGCCGGAGAAGCAGTGCATCAGTGCGCGCCCGGGATCCGAACCCGGGCCACCAGTAGCGGAGCGCGTGCACTTAACCGCTAAGCCACGGGGCCGGCCCTATAAAGCTTTTAGAATAAAATATAGAAGAATGTCTTCATGACCCAGAGATAGGCAAATATTTCTTACATAAGGACACAAAAAACAGTAACCATAAAATACTTCATCAAAATTAAAAATGTCTGTTCATCAAAAGACTATTAAAAAGAGTGAAAAGGCAAGCCACAGACCAGGAGAAGATATTCTCAGTGCCCACATCCAATAGAGTACTTATATCTAGGATAAATAAATGACTCCTAAAACCCATAAGAAAAAGATAAACACCCCATTTAAAAAATGGACAAAAGACCTGAAGGGGCACTTCACAAAAAGGGGATGGTCAAATGTCCCACAAGCATATGAAAAGACGTTCAACATCATTTATTATCAGGGAAACACAAACGAAAATCATGCTTCACCACTACACCCTCATGAACACTAGTGTTAGTGAGGACATGGAGCAACTCAAACTCTCTCAGGCACTGCTGATGGGGTCATGAGATGGTCAACCACTTCGGAGAAGTTAAACGTAAGTCTACCCCATGACCCAGTGATTCCACTCCAAAGTATATACCCAAGAGAAATGGGTGCATATTTCCACAAAAAGACAGGTACAAGAATGTCCATGGCAGCTTCATACATAATAGCCAAACACTGGAAACAAGCCACAGGCCCACTAGCAGGAGAATGGATATACACACTCATACATACTCATACAACACAATACTGAGCCACAAAATAAATACCGATACACACAACAACATAGATGAACGTCACAGATTTTAGGTTGAAGGTACTATAATTGCATTTATATGAAGTTCAACAACAAGCAAAACTAATCAATGTTGACAGCTACCAGGAGGGTGGTTACTTCTGGGGAAGGGGCAGGAGGGTATCTCCGGGGCGCTCCCTCAGAGTGGGTGGTGTTTACACGGGGGCACACGTACGTGACAGTTCATCAAGCTGCAAATTGATCATCTCTGCCTCCTACTGTCTGTTATATCTCAATTTAAAAAAAGACGACTGGCTTACTTGCAAAAACCAAAAGCCTTAAGATACGGACAAAGAGGCCTTGTGGCTTTTTCATCTTCTTTGGCTTCCAGAACCCCTGCAGTGAATTCATACAGCTCCAATGGAATCGTGGCCTCTGCTCGCTCCAAGTAGCGCAGGACACCAGCTGCATGGCACGCACTTCTCTCCGTCAGCAGCAAGACAGATTTGGTCCTTTCATCTCCCTGTTCTGCAGGAGAACCCTTAAAATGGGGGGTGAATAAGGAAAGCAGGTCATCCATACCAGTGTAAACGATGAAACTCTGTGGACTCTGAATTTGTCACTACACAGAAAATGCCAGTGGAATATTAAAAGATAATAAAAATTAATCAAACCTGTTCGGCTAAACTCTGAAAATGATCAGACATGCAATACAGGCGTCCACCAAAAATTTTTGGAGAGGAAGGAAAGCTGAAGTGAACCACACATGTGGCATCAGTGATGGCCAAGAGCGGTATGCAATCATCAGTTAAGGCTGGAGAGAAGATTCCAACAATTTCAAATGAAGCTGGAGTTGTACTACACTTTCTCTACAGAGCAATTCCAGTAACCATACTTCAACACATTTCTTCATTGCATTTTACTTTTTAGATGCAAAGAAATCTCTTTCCCATTGTTTTCCAAAAATGTCACAGCCCAGCAATTAAATTCCAGAGAAAAGTGCTCTCCCTTTTAGCTTGAAAAATGTCTCTTTTTATTACAAATACAGGCTGCCCACATGTTTTATGCTTATTTTATACATTTTACTTTTATATTTCTAATATTAAATTCACCAATCACTTACGACCATAGGCACGTACATATATCTAACACATAATAATGAGACAGCGATCCTTTAAAGCTGGAACTCCAGGGAGAATGTCCAGACTAAGGGTAGCTGCCTACTGACCTGAGAGCCCTGGGGCTCCTAGATCCACCTCAACATCAAAATCTTGGCGCAGGTTAATCTTCGTTTTTAAATTAACGTTACTAATAAATTCTCAGTAAATCTGGGGGACGCTGAGAAATTTGGAGACGAGATATTTAAATGAATTGAAGACGTGATTCCTATTAGTTCAGCTTCTCTAAACGTAAGTATGAATTAAAACACTTACCTAATGCAATGTGAGAGCCAGAACTTAACTTCTTCTTCCACTGTTCCAAAACTCTTTTTAAATCAAAAACCATTTCTTTATGCATTTTCAAGCAAAATATTGAACTGCTTTCAACTACCTAAAGATGAAACCAAAGAAGCCAGTGCACAGGCAGGAACATAAGCCTGAAGTCAATTGTTCTATCGATAATTATGAATATGAACCACTTTAAATTATTTGTGAGGGCATTACCTCACTGATCCACTAATCCTAAGAATGAGATGACAGTAAATTTAAATAAATATAATTCCAAAATTCTATAGTTTATATCTAAAAACTTGCTCAAGTGAAACAAACATTATTTTGCTAAAACTGCTTTCTTTTTTAAATAATACATACACACATATGTGTGTGTATATATATGTACGTGCCTGTGTATATGTGTGTGTGTACATACATATATATAAATATATATACAGATATCTGTACGCACCAAATTTACGGTACTATTGTCAACTGGGGTTTTCTCACTACACCTTCCAGTTCACTGTTGTTGAAAAGTGGATGTACTCCTGATTCTTATATTTTATTTTGTATTTGGCTTTGTTTCTATATTTTAGCATAATTTATACAAAATCAGATTAAATTACTCTTTAGCTAATTTATTTGGCTTTTCTGGCTACATGATAATATATTTCAGTGTCATCTTCTCTATTTTCTTAAATAAAGGGTACAGAAGATGCTGGCATTTCTTCGTGAATCGGATCCTTTTAGTGCCCCACCCTGACAAGACACAAAGCACTGCTCCCTCAGGGAACGCTCACTGTCAGCGGAAAGGCTGGTCCCACCTTGAGACTCCCCCTCAATGTCAGGCCTCCTGCTACCAGCACTTACAGCAGAACCCACCTCCTCTTCTGACCGATGTTAAACTAATAAACTTTTATCCCCCGTCAAATATTTAACAACCCCAATAACTCTCTGTGGACTCGAGGCTCAATCATAGTTTAAACAGTTAAGAACACTTTATGTGTGGAAGGGCTCACCTTACACACTATTTCTGTTTCAGCTACAGAACAGGTGAAGATCAAGGTCTTTTGTGCCTGACTTGGAATGAAATCAAGAGTTTGGAGTAAAGTAGAGGTTTTTTCACATTCTAGGCAAAGATGCACTACCTGGTAATGAAATATAGAAACAATGTGACGGAAAAAATGTCCAAGGTGGTCCCATTTCACTTTTCATAGGTAAGGTATGATTTTCACAGAAAAGAATACATAGGAAATCAATATAAACTTAAATACACAGTTACAGATTTGTGTATGAAACTAAAGCTATAATCTTTTAATATTAAGCCATGAAATAAAGGTGACTTGCTTGAATTCATCAGCCTCCACCGCACCCCGGACTCATTACCTGCTGGACACTGCCATAGAGAGCGGCCTCCTCCATGGCCGTGATCACCACGTAGGGGTCATTCATGCACTCTCTCACCAAATGTCCCACGTGTCTGTCCCAGTGAAGTCCAACAGCAACAATCTGACGGGGTGCAGATTCCCTTTCTCCAACTTCAACATTTTTTTTAAAGTTATCTAATATAGCAAACATCTAAAAAATTAGTATAATTTCATTTTTATTTCAAAAGAGAATAATATTTAGTCTGACAGAATATAAAAGGTAAAGGGTTATATATTCTCTCTTCTCAGAGTGGGGAAAGCCTTTATAAAAAAGTAAAAGAAAAAACTAAAAAGGAGAAAATGTTTACTATAAACAAAACACAAACAAGATCTGGGTAAACAAGTAACATGTAATAAAGGATTAAGCTCCTTATAAAAAAACTCATACAAACTGATTTAAAAAAGTGATCTCACCAACAGAAAATAAGCACAGGAAACGAGCAGGCAGCTCAGAGAAGAACAGGTACAAACGGCCAGGAGGAATTAAGGCTCAACTTCACAAGGAATCAGGGAAATACAGACTCAGCTAAGAGAAACCTCCCTGAGAAAGAATTTTTGCTCTTCAAAGAAAACTTGAATATTGGGAAGGAAATTTCAGATAAATGTTCTCTCTTATTAATTACAGAAGTTAAAGGAAAGATTTTTTTTAGATTAACTGGTTTCTTCTCCAGCTAAATATCCTTCCTTATTCCTAAAAGCAGTGAAGACTTTGTGTCTGTGTGTATATATATGTATTTTTTTTCTGAGTAGTAATGACATCTAAATGGATGCCATACTTACTTGTTCATTAGCTTCAGAGAATAATACTTCCACCTCATCCAAAATTAAGTGACAGAGTCTAAGAAATAACAAGCTTTGATATGTGAGAAGTCTCAGGAGGCTATACGGTGTTGTCACAATTACATCACCTACATTTTAAAAGAAAAAACAATTAATATTTTAGGTTTTCCACAGGTTTTCCTAACATTTCCTTTGCTAAGATTCCACATACTTTCTAGAAATGTCTTCTAATTAAACAAAAGGCTGTTTTTCTTCTTCAGGTGGCTCAGGCTAACCCCTGTCACTATGTGATTAAATACCTGGGCCCCCACCGGGATGGCGCTCCTGAAAGGCAGGGAGAGTTTTAGTCAACATCTAACAAACAGGAGGAGGCAGTAAACAGTCGGTAAATGAGTGAAATCACGTAGATTCTCAGTGAAACAGACAGAAGCCAGGATCAAACCTTCACTGGCCATATCCATTGGTAATCGACAAGTGAGGTCTAGACTGGTGACCTCATCACATGAGCCCTGCATCAGCCATGGCTCCCAGGCCCACCTGGGCAGAGTTCCACCGTGTTCTGTAGGGAAAACCAAACAGCTTGGAAAGGATGCTTACAGCCCCTTGGAAGCTTCAGATTTTTGGCTTCATCTTTGTGCAGTCCAATGGTTAACAACACAGGATGAAGAGGCCTAGAGGACAGGCTATCGTCTCCCAATAATTCAAAGACAAACTGGGCCTTTTTCCACCCAGGGCACACGATGACTGCCAGAGGCTGCAAAGACAAACAAATTCACATAATTTTGCATAAAAGTTAGGAATCGAACATAAGTGAGGCATGCAGAACGCCACCTTGTAGAGAGTAAGCAAGCACTATGTAAGTTTTTGCTATGATCATCATCACACAGGTCAGAAAAGTTAAAATATAATTTCATTAAAATGGATTCAAATACATTGACTCATTTTCCTAGGGCTTAAACTAAGCACTTCACAAGTATTACTTTAGTCCTTAAAACACTCTCACAGGATAGGACCTATAACTATCTCATTTCATAGATGAGGACTCTGAGGCACAGACAGGTGAAGTCAGTTGCCCAAGGCTGCACAGCTAATACACGGCAGCAACAGGATTTGAAGCCAGGCAGTTTGGCTCTAAAGCTCCTGCTCCTAAGCACAAGGATGAACTACCTGCCTCCTGAAAGGGGCCTTAAAAAAGATTAACATCTCTTCCCGAGGAGATTAAATTTCCTATAGCGCCATCTGCACCCTGCCTCCACGATCCCACAGGTGTCTCCTGCAGGCGCACTGCCTGCCAACACCTCCTGGAGACGTGCCCTCAATTAACTGAAGACGAGAATGAGTCTCCTCTTTCCTCTACGCAGATCCAGGTGAGCACCTGCTTCCAGGCGCCAGGTCTAAGAGCAGGCTGACCTGCGAAAGCAGAGCAGACACAAGAGGCAGGACCTGGACACCCCTTTCTGGCCCAGCCAGGGTTCCCTCTCAGCACAAGCTGCATCTCATCAACAGGGGTCAGCTGCTGACTAACTGAGGGACACAAACCTGTCCACTTGATTTTATTAAATCAACACATAGTAACTTAGCCAGTATTAAATCAATTCATAATAACTTAGCCGATGTTAAATCAACTCATAATAATTTAGCCAACATTAAATCAATACATAATAACTTAGCCAATGCAGACTTCCAAAGGGAAATCATTAAACTACATGGCATAATGAGAAAAACAAAACTAGTATCTTTTCTAAGATGCAATTCTAAGTGTCTTTTTGTACTGCTATTTTCCCCCTTATAATGAGTGATGGAACCATCTGTGAAGGAGCCTTTGTGACAAGATCTGAGACAGAGGTCTTATATACATCAGGTCACCTCACAGCCAGAACCCAGCAAGCAGATGTTACCACCCCACTGTCATTTGATCCTCACACCCCATTTCTCTCCTTTCTATCGTCTTTCTCAGCTATTTTCCAATTCCTATCCGTGGGAAAAATAAAGTAGGATTATAAAACGGTGTGTGGTGCTGTGAAAATAATCTAAAGAATATGGGACAAGATGACAGAAAACCTAAATTCTAATCCCACTTCTTGTCACATTTGTCAGCTGTTAAGAATTTATACCTGTAACTTTCCATGAGCTTAACTGTCTCATCTGTAAAATGATGAAAACAATACATGGCTTGATCATTTCATAGGGTCGTCACGACAGTCAGATGAATTAAATCAGTGAAATAATTTTACAAACTATATATTCATCTCTAAATGCCAGGACTCTCTTGACTCGGCCGATGGCCCATAACCGGGGGCTCATGGTGAGAATCCATGATGTGATAAGAGAAAGGAGTTTCTCAGAGGACAGTTTCTGTCCTGCCAGTTTGGAAACAAAATGAGTAATGTAACCTAAGCTTTACCAAAGGTCAGGTGCAAAATTTAGAAACAAATACTTAATCCATTTTGTTGTGAAACAAAATTATCTTCAACTTACTCCATTTCTACTTGGTAACGACTTGTAGCAGCCCCCTGTTTGCAAAATTGTAAGCACTGGTGGAAGGTACAAGAGAGGGTCATTTCCACAATGAGAAATGACAACCACATCACAGCCACGTGCTATGGGAGGCCAAGAGTACGATTCGGTGTGGCTAGGTCCAGGAAACTTATTTCTTTGAAGAGCCTACAAAACATCAACAACAACCAAAAAACCACAATAAAGCATCGAAAACCAATAAAAACTCCATCTTACTGCTCACTTTACCCCAACAAAAAGTAGACTGCTCAATCTGGTATTTTCCAAGACCTAACTTGGTAAGTCCCCCTGAATCTTTTCCAGCACCAAACTCCTGCTATAAGACTCTTGCTTTTCCGGGGTCCAAATTCAAAGAACCCAATAGGTGGTCCACTGACCAACCAGGCATTAAAGCTCACCAGAACAAGAACGTCACTTCTCCTTTTCTTCCTAACACTCTGCCGGAGCATCAACTTCACTTGTAAAGCCTTTCACTAACACGCCTTTGCTTATTTTTGTACGTAACTGTCACTAAAACCTCCCACAGGTTCCAACCGAGGCGAGTCCTCCAGCCACAATGATCCCATCTTCCAAAGGGCTGAACTCATCAGCACCATTATCTCCAAGAACTCCTCGTCCCCAGGCCCCGCACCCTCACTGTAGTTGGGGCTGACGACTCTCTGCGCCCGGTGTGCAGCTGTCATCCTGGGATCCTCCTGCACCATCACCCTCTTGTCTGCAACTCCTGTCGTCGTCTTTCTTGGTTTGCTTTCTTGTTTTGGTGGAGAACTTAATTCAGTAGCTTCTTGACAAACGGTACAGAGGAGTAAATTTGAGACTCGTGTGTCTGAAAACATCCTCATTCTACCTCTACACTTCATCGACAGTTTGAGTATAGACCTCCAGGTTGGAAATAACATTCCATGAGAATTTTGGAGTCAATGCTCCTAGTGTTACTGTGGAGAAGTCAGAAGCCATTCTAATTCCTGATCGTGCGTGTGGGACCGGTTTCTTCTCTTGGGAAGCTTTCCTGGTCTCTGAATCTCTTGTTAAGATGCTCCACAACATGTCGACCACCCTGTTTCTTGGCTGTGCTGGGCCTGTGGTAGATAAACTCTCTTAATTTGGAGAGTCATGTCCATTAAGTCCAGACATCATTCCTGTGTTACTCTTCTCATAATTTTCTGCCCTCTTCATTCTTTCCAGAAATCCCTTCCAGATATTGGACCTCGAATTGACTCTCAAAGTCTTCCCTCCCCCATTTCCATCCTTTTGTGTTTTTGTTTTACTTTCTGCTAGTTCCCATTTTCTCTCAAATCTACTATTGACTTTTATTTCTATAACATTTTGAATTTCCAAGAAACTTTTTATTCACCAACCGTTACTGTTAATTATATGCAACGTCTTCTCTCATCTCTGAGGATATTTATTTTCTAACACTTTTCCTCCACTCCCTACATCGTTTGTTTCCTTCAGAGTTTGTTTGTTCTTTTAGATGAGGGCTTTCTTCAAATGTCTGATGGTCCCTGAGGTCTGTGAACACTGAGGAGGCCACTAAGAGCTGACTAGAAGACGTGTGGGCCAGGCAAAGCTCGTCACCGTGCGAGTCACACCACTTTGGGAAGACAAGGCAGCAAGCAAGCGTTCTTACTGGGGGAATTCCAAAGAGCATCATCTAAAGGTCATTCTCCAGGGCCATTCAGTTTCTCCACAAAAAGCCTCCAATCGCCTTCCTGCAACACTGGCTGTGGATGTTCAGGAAACAGGGTAGGAGGTTCACTACCCCACCCACCCCACTCCTTCCTCTGTAAGTCAGCCAGACTCTGTTGCCTGTTTCCATCTTCTAAAAGCCAGTGGAAATCTCCTGACCACCAAAGACTTCACTCTCTTTAGACTCATCCTTGGGGTTTCATCTTTCTTTTTTCTTTTTTTAATACTTTAAACTTTTTGTTTTGTATCAAGAAGGAAGTAGACAAACATGTATAATCAATTTACTGGGTGAAACCACAGGTCTATACAGCAGCTTTGAAAAGAATGCTAAGTATATCATAATTGCTCTGGCAACTTGTTGCTACTTGGAAGTCCATTTCCAGAGGCACGCTTGAAAAATTATCTCAGAAAAGCATTATAGCTATACAATGGTTTCTCCACAAGAGAATTACTCACTTGTAAGAAGTTAACCTGGACTTAAGAATAAATGAGAAATTAATAACAAAAGCTTAAAAGAGAATTTCAAAAGCAAAGAAATTACACAAATGCAACCTTAGAACTGTTTATTAAAAAATCCTTCTACATTAGAACAGCTCAGTATTCCTCTGTGAGTTTGGCTTTAGGGGCACTTTTACCCTTTTCAGGTCTGCCGAGAGTGGCGACATGTCAATGGACAGGCACGGCTCGATCTTGTTCCGGAGCACTACAAGCGGCCGCCACGTGCCCGACTGCAGCTTCTGCAACTGAGAGAACACGTGCTTAGACGACTCTGCCTTGTGGCATCAGCACAGAAAGAACATCAGGCACTTTACGGAAATGTAAAAAATACAAGAGCTTGATTTCAATGTAAAAACCTAGGTATACATGCTTAGCAAAAACCACTAAAACTACCAAAATGAAAGGAAGATCATCTATTACCCAAATTAAAAAAGAGCAATTTCTCTAAAGCAATAATTCACTAGGTAATTTCTAAAGGGATGTCTTCGGGTCAAGTCCCCCACCTAAGGGGTTTCTTTTCTCATCTCAAGTTCAGAGGAAGGAAGAAGAGGGATTTAAAGAGTAAACAGTTTTGTTTCTTTTTTTACTTTTTTTTTAGGGTTGTAATACCTGCTGCAGATCAGAGAGTCCATCAGCTCTCAAAGGATCAGGATTTAAAAACTGCAATAATCTGTAAAACAGTTAAAAGGACAATTTGAAGAAAAAAAGAATGTTTCCATTTCTTCAATTGAGCTATTATTTGAATTCTTCTTTGACAGAGGTAAAATGAACTACATATTGCAGGGCACAGCTATGAAATTACTGCTGGTTCTGTTCTGCCTTGTTCATTGCGATGTAAGGGTCACGGTGGTCATGCCAGTCTCCTGTGTCCCCACCTCGACCCCGGGCCCCAGGCCGTGGACTCGGCACTGCCAATCCCAGGAGCACCTGCTCCGACCAAGGAGAACACTGCCTGGTCATGTGGTCATCTCATGGTTCTAAGAAACCCACTGCCTCCTTTCTTCTTTGCTGTTTAATCTTGAACCACTTTCGGGTTCCCTGGACCCATAGTGGACTGACAGAACTGACGTAGTTTAATCAGTGAGCTCTATGTAAAAGACATTTAGCTGAACAGGAGATAAGATACCACCTTTTAATACAAAAATAAAAGGCAAGAGAATATCTTGGGGTTAATTTATCAAGTTAAAATTTGCTGCACGGATAATGCAAAATCTTTTGTTTGGAGGAAAATGAACACTTGTAGCACCTTTCACTTGTCACAGCTTTCAGGTGACAGGGTGGAGGGATGTCCTGGGAGTAGGATGTCAACTCAGGTGCATTAACTGCCACCCCGAGATCTGTGGGCTCCATAGCAGCCTGCAGAGCCCTGGCCCTGAAACCCTGTGAGGAGCTCCTGCTGGGTGAGAGGACATCACAGGGCCACAGTGTGGCCTCTGAGAAGGGGAGCAGCCCAAACTGCTGCACATCAGCACCCTCCCCCGAATCATCCCAGGCCAATTAGTGGATACAGCACGACCTACCCACTTCTGAACCGTCAAACTCTGTCACTCTGGTGGCTTCAGAGCAGCCATAGTTACTTGGAATGTAAGAGTGTTTTACTCCATTGTTAACAACTTGTAAGTGAATACTCTGTGAGTCTGGCAGAACAAAAAAATCCCCAAGTTCAATGCTGCAAATAATTAAAGTTTCTCCAGCAGGTCGTAGGCCTATCTACCATCAGAAAACTGGGAAGAAAGCAAACACCAACCCACATAAAATCAACAGCCCCAAAAGATCAACTATATCTTATTTGTTTCATAGAATTGTTCACTTCACCAAGAGAATCAGGAAGGGGAGGTAGGAAATGACTATTTACAGTGGAATGAAGCTTTAAACAGAAAAATCTTCACTAGTAAAGGGAAAAGAAAAAAATGAACTTGAGAGCCCACAGAAGACACCACGTGTATCTATTTTTTAATGGGAATGCAGGTTTGAAAATAATAAAATCATATGTAAATTCTTCCTGCTTATAATTTTATTACAATTATTTCAATAAAAAATTTAGGCCAAGAAAAAGTTCATACTTCACACAACCATTCTTCTCGTTGTATTCTTTCTTCTCAGCCAATCTAAGTGATTTCTCATTTGATTTCTGACAGGAAGCTCTAGAAATCAAAAACATTTATTAAAATTTCTGAACGTATTCACCCAAATCCTGAAAATATCTTTATTTTCTGGGGTAAAACTAAGAAGTACCACTGAGGGATGAGCTGGTCTACATAAGTAAGTTCAGTGAGAACTGAAGCCGAGCCCTTTAAATGTGAAAACCGTTGTGACAGTTCTGGTGCTCACCACGAGGGAGAAAGCCCCCAAAGCCTCTCTCTCCTACTGAATAGAAACTCTGAATAAAGTACAAAAATATAGGGGAGAGGAACCAAAATGTCAAAAACAACCAGAATCAGGGAGAATTTCCCAGGCTTTCACCTTCCTCTACCTCTTGGTGTTGACCCAAAGGTGGCCTGAGACTTGAAGTGTACAGCGGATGTAGACATCAAAACCTCTGAAAGAAACCCTCTATTTCAAGCCAGAGAACCGAGAAGACGAGCCTTAAACCAGAGAGTGCGGGGAATCCCAAACGATTTTTTCCTCTTTTTCTGTCCTGGCCCTGCCCCAAGGCCAGCTCTGACCACGAAGCTGTATGCTGCAACGGCAACGGCAGCGCAGTCACCTAAACCCTGAGAGAAAACCGCTCCCTCCCTCGAGGGGTACTGGGAAATGGGGACCCCGTGGTCTAAACACTGTGTGGGGAAAACCTCCATCTTTTTTTCTCTCTTATTTCTATTGTTGTGTTGCTCCACAAACAGCCCCAATCACATAGAACTGCCTGGCAGTCTCTCCAAGATAAACCATCTTCCTGGCCAGAGGAGCAAGGAGAGGGAGCATCAGAGAATAGTGAACGTCAGGAAAATCCTGGAAAAAAAAGGGAGCAAGACCGGAGGAGAAGAGGACCCCTTATTTCTGTTATGATACAACACAAGTCCCAGGCTCGCCCCAAGTTGAGTGTATTCAGAACAGACCCAAAGCAGCAGCACGCCAAAGACCCGGAAACTGAGCTCACACTGCAATCAACACTTGCAGAGAGTGAGACAGAATCTGAGGTCTGCTGAAACAAATAACAAAAACAACAAAATCAACTTTCTCCAGGGGATTTTAACAGAAACCAGTCTCTCACCACAATGTTCAAAATATCTAGAATACGATCCAAAATTACTCGACATACAAAGAACCAGGAAAATCAGATCAATTGTCCAGGGAAAAGATAATCCATAGATGCCAACCCCAAGATGGCTCAGACGTGGGAATTGTCAAACACTTTAAAGCAGCTATTACAACCCTGTTCCATAGGGAAAGGAAAGGTGAGCACTCTTGAATGGAACAATATAAGTTCTCAGCAAAGGGGGGTGACGTCAGCATCACAGCAGAGTGAGCTTCCCCCACTGAATTCTCCCCCTCTAAGACACAACAAAAAGGACATTCACATTCCAAGAGAAGTTAATCAAACAACACAAGGGATGTCTGAGGGACCCATGCAGCCATACACCTGAGGACTGAGGTGCTGGAATCCCCAGAGAAAGTGGAAGGAGGTAAGAGGAGATCCCTTCCTTCCCCAAGGACTGCGACCTTGAGACTGAGACCACATGGCTCTCGGGCGGGGGGAGGGGTGGCTCTTTGCAGGAAAACCAGCACTCTCCAAGATCCCTCACAGCCCAGGGAAAACTCCCCTACAGAGGGAGCAGAACTGTTTGGGGGTTACCTTCGACAAGCTAGCACTTCAGGAGACCAAAGAGTAAGAGTGAAGCGAGAAACCCCTGGGATCGGGGAGGCAAAAGTTAAGAGCCTCTCCCCATCCGCCCACCCGGCACTTTAGCACAGCAGCCCTGTAGCCTCAGCTCAGCGGTGCTTCAGCTCAGTGCTGGCCCCAGTGCCAGTGGCGGCGGCGTGCCCGTGCCCTGGCCCCAGCGGCTGCAGCTCCCTGGCACCCCGGCCCCAGCAGCGTGTGCCACGCCCCAGGCCCAGTGGCCCAGCCCCAGCTGCATCAGCTCGACTGAGCTCAGGCTCCAGCTGCTTTGGGACCAGCTACTTCAGCCCAGCCACGCTCCAGCTCCAGCTTCTCCAGCCCAGCTGTGCTCTAGCTTCAGCTCTAGCTTGTTTGGCCCAGCCATGCTCCAACTACAGCTCCTTCAACCCAGCTGCGCTCCAGCTCCAGCGGTTCCCACGCTCCAGCTCCAGCTGCTTCCACTCAGCCACACTGAGGCTTGGCCACACTCCAGCTCTGGCTTCTTCGGCTCACCAGTGCCCGAGCTCCAGCTGCTTCATCCTAGCTGCATTCCAGTCCCAGATGTTCCTGCACTCCAGCTCTAGCTGTTCCCCCACTCCAGCCCTGCCAGCCTCTGCTCAGCCATGCTTCAGCTCAGCCACGCTTCAGCTCAGCTGTGGGACAGGCAGAGCGCCTGTGGATCGAGGCAGGCACACAATACACAGCTCTTGACCCCCACCCAAAGGTGGCAGGGGGAAACTGCGACCAGATATTCTCAGTATGAGGAAAAATAAGCCAATGCTGACAGGCACTATGCAAAAATACACTAAATCTCCAGACCAGAAGGAGAATGACAAGCACCCAGAAATCAACCCTGAAAGCACAGAAATGTATAACGTTAATGACGGAGAATTCAAATTAGCTATCATCAAAAGCTCAACAAAATACAAGAAAATATAGATAGACAATTCAATGAAATCAAGAATTTCTTCACAAAAGATATTGAAACTATAAAGAAAAACCAGAGGCCGGCCCGGTGGCACAAGCAGTTAAGCGTGTCCACTCCGCTGTGGTGGCCCGGGGTTCGCTGGTTTGGATCCCGGGCACGCACCAATGCACTGCTTGGCAAGCCACGCTGTGGCAGCATCCCATACAACGTGGAGGAAGATGGGCACAGATGTTAGCCCAGGGCCAATCTTCCTCAGCAAAAAAAGAGGAGGATTGAAAGATGTTAGCACAGGGCTGATC